GAACAGGGGAAGATGAATTCCACGCTTTCTCTTTCTAACAGGGGTAGCTCATGTGACGAAATTGGGGGCCGAAAAAGGGGTCTCTGAACATCTTGGCTCAGCCTTGTGCGCGATTGCTAATTGCTGATTTGACTCGAATAACTTCCGTGCGGCTCTATATTTATAGTGAGATATGGGGTTTAGGGTGGTTTTTAAGGAGTGTGAATAGATATACAAAGTACGGAGTCAGAACAATTTAAAGGAGATTTATAAGTTCGTACTTCGTATTCGTAAACGTAGATTACTTTCAATACAATTAGTGCTTGCACATCAGATCCATTATTGCGAGACGCTAAACTTGAAGAAGATGGTGGACACTATCCCTGTCGCTTCGTTCCGCCCTAGTCCCGCGGGGCATATTATTGAAGTGGATTGAAGCTATCCAAAATTGAGGCCCGCTAACAGATTCGGAGTTTTTCCTAAGAGTCTAAAGTTGCGGTCAGACATCCAACGGTGAGTGAGATATGAATGAGATATTTTTTCTACACTTATGTAGAGTAGTGTATGTAATTTTTTATTTTTTTTTGGTATTTTATACATATATGTGGACATAATTTCAACCCCATGTGGTATATTTCTCCAGATATCAACATCCCTGATGGCCACGCGAAAGGGATTCCTGCAGACTTAGAGTATTCAGGGGTAATTCCTCAATGTTCCAGATGCATAGATATGGAGTCACACAATATAAAATGTAATTTTAGGAATGTGGATTTGAACGAGATACATATGACATTTCGACACCAACCTTGCATGAGTCATGAAAACTCAAACCCCAAAAACCCTCAATCAGCTGCCAAGAAGCTAACCATACCTGTTTAGGACAAGTTTGCATCCTTCGTTTCAGGACTTGGTGGCGATCGTAAGTGGAAAGCTTATGTATTTTAGGTACCTTACCCTAAAAATATAGACTCTTATATTCTATATATCCCCATACTCTACAGAGACAACTTCCTCCACGTATCACCTCCTTACCTGTTCGAGGGTCCCTGCATGTAGCAGGTGTACTTTGTACATACTCCGAACTGCATGGTTGTATGCAGATCTCTGCGGAATTCAGCTAACCAACATCCGAGAACTATGTATTAGTTTTGCTTTTCTGTAGGAATGTGGCTTGCGCGATTGGGATTCAAACTATGCCCTCGATGCTCCTTGCACGGGGCTGACCATGTTAAAACTCTAAATATCTGGGCGAAGAACACTCCCTAACCATTTACATTTGGACGAGCCGGGGGTAAAGAGAAAGGTCTAGATGAATCCTGGATTGTTTCGCCTCCGTTGCGCCCCTTGATGTACATCGTAGACTGGGGTACACATCTAGATGTTCTAGACAATCATAGTATCAACTCAATCTTTAAATTAAGAGGATCGATCTTCACTTATGATAGGGAATACGGTGTAGCACTCATCAGGGGTTCTAGATTTAGATAGGCCAAGAAATCTCGAGACTACGCATCACATTCTAGAGGCTGAAGCTATCGGAGCTACGAATGTGGGGAAAGACTAGCTGAGGTTGCCACGTGGAATACCAGAGAGGTCAATAATTTAGACCTTTCGAGCACAGATCTGATCATCCCCTAGTCCCCTAGCTACAGTAGTCTGTAACTCAACTCACAAGGTCTAGAGATGCTTTGGACCCCCCGTATTGGGGGCCATGTGGCTTACGCAACGACCTTTTCCTCCGTAGTTCAGCCACCGTCTTGTTGGGATGACAATCCTGACAAAGAACCCGAGGAGCCCGATTGACAGAAACTCTCCTTGTGAGACTAGCGAAAACACTAGTGGACTTCCGTGCACGCAGCACTATGTGAACAGAGCCTCATCTGATCTGTTTACCTATTCGGTGCATCGTAGGTACTTTGTAGGTAGTACGATCGTACGATCGTACCCCGTACATATGTATCTCCTGGCGCTAACGGAGTAGCCGCGCTGAGAGTTTTTTCTTTTTGAAACTATCGTCAGCTCTGTGGGCTCTAATCTTGTACTTTTGACTCGCTCGGACTCGAATATCAGTTGTTCTCGGACATCCCGATTGTTACGAAATATTCCAAATCGGTAGGCCGCGCCCGTGGACGTCAATGTTAAGGTTTTAACTTGTGGGCGTATATACGTAGATAAGAGACCTTTTCATGTTTCGAAGTTGAATTTTGTTCTATTTGAATAGAAATGGAAGTGCACACACGAGGTCCTCTTTGGCCGTTTATAGTAATGTCCCTTTGGCGCTTTATTATACGCCTGTATTGTACAGTGCATCTGTAATACATATAATACAAGATACATAGTACACAATACTATGTATAGAATACGAAGAATTTGGCCGTTCATGGTGGAACTCCACTTTCTGAAAACAGTTGCAAGTCAGGTAACCACGTCATTGAAATGGTTCTGATAAGGGATACAATACCTGAATCATGCAAATATACTCCGTACGGAAGCCCATATTTCCGGTGAACTCCGTGACAAATTCCCCGCTAGAACCTTGGAAGCCTTCTAGAAGCCTTCTAGAAGACGCTAAGAAGCCACGTTTCGGATTGTTCCATGGGCCACATAGAGATATTGTGATTCTCCTGTTTCTCCTGTTTCTCTCCTTTTTCTGCTAATTAAGGGGTAAAATATCTACCAAAAATAAATTCCTGATTTTGTCCTTCTTTCCCTGTTCCTAGACTTTCTATGTACCGGTTTCGGTCTCAAGCTAATCCCGAAGGCTTGGCAAGTGTCAAATCTCTATCCGCAGGGATTACCTAAATCCCTATCTAACCAATTAAGTATCTATTAACGAGCATACATTCGAAGTATATTGTATATATAACACGTTTATACGCAAGTGTCCCATATTGGATATGTGATCCACGATGTACATACTACACCAAAAACAAGACCGGAAAACACAAAGAAAAAAAAGAAAAACCTCCGATTGGTGTTACCATACGACGTACAACGTAGTGCTCCATATATTCGTACACCCGGGCAAACAACTCCACCTTCACAAACACACGGCAGAAGAGCCACACGAGAACAAAGGACTTGCAAGTCCACGTGGCAGATCGGCAAAACACCGACAGAGTCAACAGCCGACTTACATATGCACCTACAACCCTACCTGGTTAGCCTATGTATGAGATACTATCCATTATTCCTGACTGGCTAACTAAATTCCTGGTTATACATGGAAACGTTGGCTTTAGGCGCTTTACCGCCTTTTTAATCTTTCTAGTTATAGAACTGAGACGAGGGGAAATACACATGACATAAAAAGAATAGTTGAGTGGATACCCAATAGGACTACACAAAAAGATATGACTATTCTTGTTATCGTATAACTGATTTGCCACGTTATTCTATCGTTGGCAGACTTGATATCGTAGGCACCAAAAAAGCAAGACGACCAAACTAAATATTGTGTTGGAAAAACAACTATTAAGCGACAATAAAACGTAGACCAACCAAATGTCGAGCGATCATCACCAGAACTAGTCCTTGTCAGACTTACTTTGTATGCTTGGTCTTAAGTTCCAAACTAGAGGTTTCGAAAAGTACGCATTTGCAATCCTCAGAAGAAATGCGGGATTATCAGACCGGAGCATTCTGTCAAATCGATCATCAAGGCCCTTCTTCTCCTCCGCCGTAAACTCGGATCCTTGCTCGTGTATACAGCAAAGACACTCAACAGTACAATGCCCAATACCTTTCTCTTTTGTAGTGTGCAATTGACGTCTTTCACAGCATCCACAGGCTCGGCTGCATCAACCTCCTCTACCTATACAGTCTTCGATAAGCTCTTCCTGGAGATACCAAGCAGGGTTGCTCTTCACCGAATTGTAGCCCCTTCTCAACGATCCTTCGTGGATGAAACACTCATGTTCGTAGAGATCCCACTCTTGATTGCGACGTGTTTTTCTGACTTTCTCTAGCTCCTCTTCAAGCTCGTTAGATTTCGAGTCGTTTTCATCGACACTTGAAAGCTTTTTCGCAGCTTTAATCTTGGTATTCAACGCATCTTCTCGTTGGACGGTTGATCTGAGCCGATTTTCGGCTAGAATGATTTTGATGAGGAGGTTACCATTGTATCTTGAGTTTCGGCCATGAAAAATTCACGCTTTTCGACCGCTATATGTGTAACTTGACGAGGCAGACAAAGTCTTGTATTCTCCAAGCATCTTAAGTAGTTCGAGATATCGACAGTGTTGAAGCCACAAGGAAACCATTCAAAATCAAGAGAAGATAGTAGTTCTATAAGCTGGCGGATGTATCAGAATAAGAAGGAGCATACGGAGTAGCTGAGTTAGGCATTATTTCATTATCAAATCATCATGATCCTGACTCATATTAAAAGGTTCATATCTAACCTTGCTAGTGCTAACCTTCTAAATACATAGGGATATATACTTCATTAGTAAGACAACTCCAAGGTCTACTTCACTATATAGTGATATCATAGTCACATCTGCAGTTCCGAGTTGGGTACCAGATCTCACATCGGAAGACTAATCTTATAAACTATCCATTAAGAGCAAATATACAAGATGGATTCTAGGACTATATAGTAGCGCAAACCTGCTGCATTTTAGTATCACCTATATTTGATAAGAGTGTAAGATCAACCTTGGAATGTAGGAGAAAGAGAAGGCAATAACCAATTTAGGAAGGCACGTGCTAGTAGTTGCCCATAAAACTTCCCTTTTCCCTCCTTTCTGAAAATCAACTCTCCCTCTTAAACATTTGGGAATACAGACCCAATACAAGACCATCTCGAAAAAACATCCAATCTTCTCGTTTCTCTTCGATCTATCAAAATGAGGGTAGACGAGTTACCAGGCGGATTTTGGGCATCTGAGCCATCGTTTTGACCATCCTGATTGTGACGTCTTCTGTGTGAAGTGGAGGGAGACACAGCAAGTCCCCCTGATCTATCTATCATCAAGCAAAATTAAACAGTTACTTACCAGCAATTTTATATTTCCATGTCAGCAGAGCAAGCCATTCAGATTGCTGCTGAACTGAACCTAGCCATACAGGATGCCTTATTGAGAAACAGCAAGTCTTCAGTAAGATTCTTTACTCCTCAAATGCTACACAGAAACAAGTACCAACAGATGTTTCGGACACTATAGATTACCAAGACTCTATTCCCTAGTCTTCACAGCAAACTAGGGTGCCAGCCCTTGAAGGGCATGCCCTTTATGACAAACTCGATGCCGTTGACACATGGAAACCTTTGGATATTCGCCCGCCGCGAGATTACATACATCCTCGAACTGCGTACTTTACGTACAGGGCATACGTTGGCCGTTATTGGCATCGCCACAGTCACTGCCGTGGATTGGAAACTGGATTTTCCAGGATACAGACTTCAAGGAAATGGAGGGAGTTCATCACCGCAGATCCCTCCAGATCCTCCAAGTTTGTATTGAGATCTGAACCCAAAATCAACAACATTCCATCGTGGGAGATTTTCGATTTACTTGGTCTTCCCTTGTCGTTGATGGGAACAGCACCTATGGAACATATTAGCTCAACCCATGGGTTCTATACTTGGCCTAGACTGCAAGTTCGGCTTCACGACTACGATAAAACAGTCTTCTTACGCCAAAGCAACATGGTGCTGACCAACGGCCGAGTTCGCCCACTACTTGTGGGATGAGGACGTGCTCGCCGATCTTCCTGCTGTTTGTAGTCCTGGTTATTCCTGAGGCCAGTTGGATGCCTTGAGACATGAGTTAACAAGTCTGTAGTTATCATCATGTTACAATAAGCAAGCTGATTAACATATTTTACACGTCTTTCACTGTATTCTATATATTTGCGCCTAATGCTTCTTCTAGCTATGAGACCAATAAGTGGACAAGTTACTTAAAAGGTCTCAAAAAGACCTATAAGATAGCACCAGAAAAGGTATTACAACGCCGTATAAGCAGCTGACTATTTGACTGTAGTTGCCGAAGACATAAAATTCAGTAAATGACTTGCATTGTAAACTATGCTGTGGAGCTCCCATGCCCATGTGGCCCTGACAGATGCAGAGCGATCTACTTTGTCTCATGATAGATGAACAATTTGATTTGTCGATCGTCTTACGGGGATTCTCAGTTGATATCGTGACTCGGGCTTAGTCCTCGGTTACTCGCATGGTGTGATCACGACAATTCTGCGAACAACCTTTATGCAGATAACCATGTCGAAAATCATGCACCTCGCAACGGGAGGAATATCCGATCTTGACAAAAGCACTACTGGGACCGGGAAGGAGTTTTATTTGATATTTATACGAATTTAAGACGCAGGGATCTACACCTGTATACTTCCACCAAATATGAGCTAACTCGAAGATCAATGCTATTATCGAGATAGAGGGGTTATCTACTTTGTACTCATTTAATATGGAATTATTTCCACCGATATCAGGTCATTGCGCATGCCTCGGTCTTGCTTGACCGTCATTTTTCGCTGATCGTCGTTTTCTGGTGCACGTGGGAAGACGGAAGTTGCCCGATAATGATCGTCGCAAATCAAATCAAAAATCACACGTTTACAAGTTGGAAACCCATGAAGATCACCTTTGACATTTCCCTGGCTCAAAAGCCTGATAGCCGACCCTAAGCTCCCATTCGAAAGAGTTACTATCCGACTAGAGCTAACTCTCCGATCACCCACTTCTGGTGTTAACCTTGCAATGGCAGAGGCTATCCGGCTTGGCGGTGTGGTAAGGCAAGCCACCAAGCCTGAAGAAATGTGTAAGGGACACTGCATTCTAACAAGAAAAAAGACACTCGACACCTATCTGCATCAAAGCGGGGTCAGAGCAAAGCCGGTGACCACAGGAAGATCCTTGACGACCTTTCTCCCCGAAGTACAGCGTCTCATGTTACCTGCAGAACATTGCACTGAGAAGTCCACACGGAAGGCTACGGCCCACCTATGTTGTATATAACGAATCCCGGCTTCACGAGAACACCACGTTGCACAAGGCTCCGTTTTTTTTTTTTTTATTAACAACTCATCCCGGGCCTACATTTAACCCCACCCCTGAAACCAGCAAGTCTCCTCTTTCTCTCGAAATACTCATCCCGTCCCTATCTTGTGGGCTGTACTAAACACAAAGTATATTTCGGGCTACCGCATGGCTAAATGCACTTGGGCTTTGGGCATGTGCACAACGGACACATGTTCATGTAGCCTCAGACAGAAGCAATAATGTTGATCTGCAACCTGCAGTATGAGCTGAATTTCTAACGGCTGGTCGAGCTGTGGGCCAGGACGAGACAGAGTACGGTGTACATATACATCAGAGCCATGCGAGGGTTGCAGGATTGTAGAGTCTACTTTCTCAACAGCTTTTTGCGTTGCATTTGCCTCCATTCCTACGTTGTTTCACACTCGAAATAACGCATTCTGATTATCATATAGATAGGACGTCATTTTACTTCCAACTCACCTCCACTCGAGAATGTAACCTAATCAACATAAAGCCTCGACCATGTGGATTGCCCTTGAGATCCTATATACATATTTCACATGGTACCCCAGGGATCGGTGTCCTGCATGCAGAGTAATATGCTCAACGCACAACTTGCCATACGGAGACACCAGCCCCTCCTTTTACCATTTGTGGGTAAAGACCTGAGAATTAGACCTGTCACTTTTAACACATGGCAAGCCACATGCATATGTCGAAATGCCGCGTGTTTGGGAGTCGCCAATCAAATAGAGTACAAAATGTTGATGTCGAAGTACAGCATTTGCATATTCCTGTAGTAATATGTCATTTACCTCTGGAATGACTGTACAAGCAAGGAGAATATTAGCACAAGGCAGCGAGATTCGAAAAGCTGCCGGCATTACTCCTTACCATTGCCACAATCCGTCTATTAAAAGTACAGATCTGCTGGCAAAGAAAGAATATGCAAGGTTTGCCCTTCCGTTACCTTGTCTGAAGAATTCGCCAGCCGGTTTTGAAACTATCTAGATGGGATCCCGATATCGCCACCCTCTCTTCGGGGACTCTGTATTCGGAGGGCGTGGGAGCATGCATACACCATCGAAGCAGAGGCAAGGATGGCGTGATTGATCATACTCCAACCAGGATAGACGATGGAAAAGGGTGATCGGCAGATTTCGAGAGTAGGTTTGGGGCTAGTGGCTAGTGATGTTTGCCAACAACTTAAAACAGGGACTTGGGGATGATGCTTGGCAGTTGTTACATGTGGTTATGTATTCCGTATGTACGGAGTACTCTGTGCATGTTGTCGCATGGTGTTATGTGATATATCTGATACCGGAAGTCGGGGCTTGAGTTCGGGGCATATGTCGGTGAGACTGGTATAGATCCCCTAGGGCTGGGTTAAGGTTAAGATGTATTTGTTTCCCTTTTCAATAGAATTCCAGGGACCGTCTATGCATGGTATGTATTTAGCTTATGGTTGGCTGTGTTATGCTGCTTTATTTCTTGTATACTGGGACAGTATGGGAGGACGGACTTGATATCAATTCCAGAATGAATCAGTATAGAATTGACTGGAAATTAGTTAAGATGTATTCTGACTAGCCACTCATATCGTGATAGACTGGATAGTCAGAAAGCAAAATGATATTCTCGCTACCGGCGCAAAGAACGCAGCACAGTAATACATGTTCGCAATATATCCAAATTGCTGACAGGTTTTATTCGCGCCACCACTGGCCCAAAGCACCTCCGGAGCCTGCCATTTCAATGACCTCCTCGAAACTGATTTCCACACGGAACATCTGCCCGTCAGCAGTGCCATTTCCACTGCCCACAGGAGTCACAAGTCCCCAGCTGAGCAGCTTTTCCCAGGACTCTCTAGCGACATCTCGGCCCCAGACACGGCCTGGCGTGGCAGCAGCTCCTGACACCGAGGCAGATATCTTTGCGGAGGTTAGGAGCCGAACATATTCTGCGTATGCGGCGGGAAAAGAAAGCGCAAGTGGTGACATGCTCTGTGACTGGGAGCCGTCGTTTCCGGGGTCGAACAGGGCTGCCAAGCGTGTTGCGGCTACCAACAAAGCCAGTGGCAACGAGGAAGGACTGGATGATGTGATGGACGTGGAGAAAGGAAGAGGTGCTGGGTCGGGGCAATCAAGGGATTGGGAAGCGAAGCTTTTCGCGGTTGGGACTTCGAGTGTAGGTGTCTCAGCGGTTGATACACTTTGTAGCAAGTCGCTGATGGGCAGAAGTGCGCTGTTGAAAAACTCCTTCACTGATTTGGTTTGGTTGTAGATACGCTTGAGGTGGAATTGGAATTCTTTGTCATCCCACATATGCTATTTTCAAGAGCGAGGTTCAGCGAAGACTCAATTGATTCGATAAAGAAAATATGATAGCTCTTACCTTCAAATATTCCTTCCATCCCTCCAGCAGTGTCTTCCATTTGTTTGACTCAACTAGAGCGCGATTAGGCCCAAGTTCATTTGCAATATCAACCATTTCCGCATCACTGAGATCCAGGCTCCCTAGGCAGATATCCGAAAAGGCCTCGAAGGATCGAGGCAGAGGGACGTAAGTATATCGATGACTAAATCGACTCTTGACACGCTTCTCGAGCATTTCGGTTACGTCAACTTTTGTAGTGAGCCCAATGACCGCGATGGGGGCTTTGCGGGCCTGGGCAATATCAAACAGATTATACAACAGAGTCTGTCGGGGGTGAGTGACGAATAGATCGAACTCATCTAACAGAATCACGATGGATTTTGCAGCAGTCTTCGATCCCGGGTCACCAGAAGCCCCAAAGAGCTCCTCTGGATGCGACAATAAAGCCAAGAGCGTCGCCATCGTATCTGCGTAAGAATTGACCTTGGCCGCATCATCCTCGGTATGCATCTCACGGCCAAGTTGGCGCCACATCTCTCGCAAAGCTAGACGGTCGTCTGTGTGCAAGAATCCATTGAGACGTACTACGTGGAAATCATTGGTGTGTTCCTTTCTAAGGGACGAGATGATGGATTCCACAATCGCGGTCTTGCCGCATCCTCTGGATCCAAGGAGAAGCATGGAGTTACCCTCACCAATGGAGACAGTCTGCTCAACGAGCTGATGAACTTTCTGGTATTCCGGTTCGAGTCCTCGCACTGGAATCTGTCGTTTTCCTGACAGCTTTTCGAGCATTATAGTCGAGAGAATGCGCATTTCGTCCCCAAGACCCGTCTGAAAGAGCGCTTGTAATTTTTCGACGTATTCTGGCAACGGCTCAGAAATATCGACGGTCTCATGCACCTCCGGCTCATGATAAAGATCTTGCTGGAGTTCCATCGTAACGAGGTCATCTAAGCCGTCATGGTACTCTGGCGAAGGAGACTTCTCTTTCGGCTCTGCGGCCGAGGCTTTCTTGGGTCTGGGTCTAGGTTTCGCGGTGCTTCTCTTCGATCTGGTCCTTGTACTTGTACGAGGGGCAGGTTCCGGGGACGACTCGTCGAGGTCCATGTCATCATCGTCGTCATCCTCTTCCTCCTCGTCGTCGTCCTCCTCTTCGACTTCAGCCTCATCTTCACCTTCTACCGGAGATCGTCGCGGCTTTTGCGCGCTTCGGGTGGCACGCGCACTTCGTGGAGTAGCTGCTGGTTTTCTCCTCGATGAAGGTGTTACGACCTCTTCTTCGTACCTTTTTGGTGTTTTGCGCTGCCGCCCACTTGAACGTGTCCCAACCCGCGCGGGTGTTTGTACCTCGCCTTTCTCGTCCTCGCCATCTTGGCCTGTCTTCGCTGCGATAGATCGACGCCGTGGCGCACTTTTCACCGGTGTGGGAGAAGTTCTGTCGTTGTCGGGAGATGATGGGACAGCGAAGACGTCTTGATTATCGTTTCCCATCTCCATATCTCCATCAACGTCCGTGGAGACCCTCCTCCTCTTAGTTGCTCGGGCGTCTTTCATGGCTGCGGTTCGAAGAAAATGGAATCGCTGGTATCGGGGAGCTTCCAATTCGTTCGACTCAAAAGGTTTTTTTGGTCAGTGTAAAAGACTTAGAGCAAGAATCGCTCGCGGTTGTCCTGTCGAATAAGTGTTTGCGCCTATATCAATTAGAATCATATTCAATGCTGTTTGTTGCCGACCAGCTTGAACCTAGGAGCTCCTCCCAAGTGTATTGACTTACAATTCCAAGATAATCAATGGCGCATTTGTCGTTGATCAAGACCAACAAGCAGCCAGCCTGAATCAAATTCGAACAGAAGTCCTGCGCAGTTCAATTGCGTTTCAAAGGGTCGGCCGGACAACAAATTGGCCGATTTTCGCCTCAGGCCGAGACGCGTGACGCGAAGTCAGGTGCTTCACTTGAAGCAGTCTTCCCTTGCAAAATAATTAGAAGCTATTCTTTTTATATATGTTTGGGATTGTTCGGCTGCTAGCCACAAGCGGTTATGGATATCTCCTTGAATTAAAAATGAATTGATATCACATAGTGTGGCCTATGCTCCACGGCATGGATCATTGCTAACACACTACATAGAAGGAAAACATAAGTAAAAAAAACATAGACACAAAAATGAACAGTGTATGTCCAATTCAGACAGAAAGATAAACATGCCTCCAATTCAATTTAAGCATATTTGATCCGTTCAAAGTACCGACTTTCTCACCACAGCCGAGGTCCAATGTGATCCGAGAGACGGTATTTATCTATTATATCTACTTCTACTTCAACACTTTCCCCCCAAATATCTATACCCATTTGATTTTCGCGTTTGTCATTCCTTTCATATATCATGTCAGATAACGCAATAAGCGCCCCTTCCAGGGAACTGGATGAGTTCGAGAAGATCATCTATGAATATACGGGGCGAATGGGCGTGGGGAGCGAGGGAGTAAGTACCACGTGCAGCAATATTTAAACATATTTACTGCATCTCCGATCTACGTACCGCTATACCAAGCAAGATTGAAATTCCAGCGCTTACCATTGTCAGCACTGGGACGTCGATGCCCGCAGCTGTAACCTCCGCTTCGAATCCGCAACGCGCGGTCCCCCCGCTACAGTCTCGTTCCTCTTGACGATCACTCCTGCACTGAGCAATTACATGGGTAACCTCCACGGAGGCTGTGCTGCTACTTTGATCGATGTTCTATCGACCACTATCTTGTTGGGCGTTTCCGAGCCGGGCAAGTTCGCTCTCGGAGGTGTCAGTCGCAACCTCAAGGTGACCTATCTGCGCCCTGTACCTACAGGAATGGAAGTGCGCCTCGTCTGTGAGGTTGTACATGTTGGCAAGCGGTTGGCATTGCTTCGGGCTGAGATTCAGAAGGCGGAGAGTGGTGATGTTTGCGTGGTTGGTGAACACGAGAAGGCCAATACCGATCCGGAGGTGACGCAGAGGATTTGAATTGATTTTAAATTGATTTTTGGTATATTTAGAAGACAGCACACCATAGATCTTCGGGCTCTTAGAGGCAGCGACTTGGATCTCAATTTGTATATAATTCATTTGCATTAACAGAGTTGCCAAATTCTAGCCATTGTACGACGAGTATGTAATCTATGGCTGTGGCAGTGACCAGAAAGATTGCGCTTCGTTTGTTATGATAGGGGAGAGCGGGACAAAGAACAGAGAGACTATCGCACATGTCCAAGAGAAATATAATCAATCAATCTAAGCAGTACTAGATGGTCCGATTGCCAAGGCGAGTATCAACGCCTTTTTACTCGGTGGCCAGTTGCTGGTCTTCCCGGAGACCCTCAACCTTCAACTCCTCACCGGTGGCACGGCGGTACATATCACGGACATCATCTGGGAGAAGTTGTTAGCCAACGATTCATAGAAATTCAATCATGGGATAGCTTACCGGTCGTAGTCTCGAAGTGTGATGTCGCGTCATAGCTCTTAGAGATGAAGATGTTGGACTCCGAGCCATCGTCGATGGGCTCGTAGAGAGGGATGGGGGGACCCATGAACTTCTCTTCGATCTTGCCCAATCGGTCGAAACCAGCCTCAAGCTCAAGGTGGTGGTTGGCATCATTCTCAGCGATAGTGGACACGATGGCAATGTAATAGCCCTTAGGACAGACGTTGTGCGCGGACGAGACCATGGCAATGTAAATGTCTGGAGAGATTAGTTCCCTGTCAATAAATCAGGGTCATATAAAACTCACCGTGCTTGCGTCCAACTTGGGACTGGGGAATGATCAGCTGCACAGAGTCGCTGCCTTCGGTCTTATCGATGGGGTGGTTCAGAATACAGATAGCCTTGAGCAGGTATCCGGTGACCTTGGACTTGTTCGGGAAGTAAGAAGGATCAGCAATGATCTTCTTGGTCTTGGTCTCAAACTTCATGGCTTCAGATTGATCATCACGGTCCTTCATGGTCGCCTTGATCCCGGAAACCTTGCCGTTGTCGTAAAGCACCTCGTCAATGTCGGTGTTCAACATGTAGGTACCGCCGTAGATGGCGGACAGACGAGCGAAGCCCTGGGGCAGCTCGCCGAGGCCGTAGAGAGGGTAGATATATGGCGATTTTCCGTAGCGTGCCATAGAGTTGACATACAGGCGGATGCGGTTAATGGTTTCGACGGCGGCACCGCTCTTGTTGATATATTCGTCGGAGGGGTACAAAGCCATAGAGTGACCGACGAAATCGCGAGTGTTATCCTCGAGGCCAAACTTGTCGTAAACCTCCTTCATTGTGCACGCATGGACGTTCAATCCTGGTCTCCATTAGCTATCCACTTTGATGGCGCAGGTTGCAAATACTCACCCTGGTGACTGGCTGGGTCGTCCTCCTTGAAATCACCAACCCACTCGAGGAACTTCTTTGCACGTCGCTTCTCGAACAATCCCATGAGCGATGAGCGGAGAGCTTCACCAGCATCCGAAGGCACCTTGGCCACGGTCGCCTTGAGACCCTTGCCTTGCTGGACATAGCTGCCAGCAATCTGCTTGAACTCGAGGTACCGGGTAACGTCCGTGGACACCAAAATATTGGTCAACTCTCCGTTGGACATGAGCAGCTTGGGGACCAAGTCGATGTTCCAGTCATTGACCCTCCCATATTTCTTCCATGGCTCCTCGCCGGGGCGGACATTGCCGTATTTCTTGAACAGCTGCAAAGGATGTCAATAGCGTGTAAAGTCGAGGATTAATCGGTGCACATACTGCTTCGATGTTGATGGAGGCTGCTTCTCTGTGGTCATTGTAAGCTATTTTGATCTTGGTGCCGTCATCGTGAGCTTCTCCAACTTACCCTCCATAGTGATCATTGCGATCGATGTGAAGAACCTTGTTACCCTTCACACTGAGGACACTGTAGTCGAGAACAATGAGAAAAAAGCTGGAATCGTTGTAATCCAAGGTTAAAGACCTACCCAGACAAAACACACTCGGTCAGGCCTGAAAGAACTGGTCAGTCTTGACTTAGAGGGGGGGGAGATTGGCGGGGTAGCAACATACCAGTGCCGAGCACCACGACATCGTACTCTGGGGCGATCTCGTCCATAATGACTATGGAGGATACTAAAGGTAGAGGAAAATAGAAGAAGGATCCAAGGAGAATGAGGAGAAGAGAAAGTTGAACTACCTCCCCGCGGATCAACGAAGCGGTAAGAAAGGGGAACTATTTGACGGATCCGCCACTAGTGAGTTACCTCACGATATTAATGACATGCGACAATTTGGATTCAATGAACCCCTGAATACATATATCCTTTGGTTCTTTTGTCTCAGGGGTAAATATGATGGGTTCTAGATATTCTTAGGTACATGTGTAAATTAAATGAAGTTTGTGGTGTCAGATGAGGAACCATTTCTCATATATCCTATGTATAATCTAACATGCGCACTACTAGAATCACCTTAAAAAAGCTAATGTTACATACTTGATTGACCCTTGGAGACTGGGCTTAAGTCTCCCTCGGCTGTGTGCCTAACCCCTCCTTCTCATGCTTATTGTCCGTTGCCTTGGGCTGCTCCCTTGCCCTCCTGCTCGACCTCAACGTCATCGAGCCCGTAAAAGTTCTCAGGGCGGTATCCGCGCTTGTACATTCGTGATGCGTCCTCCCAAGCATACCAGCGTTCACGTAGAACGTGCTTGATGTTTTTCATGGTGCTTCGAACCTAACACGATCAAATGGGTCAGTTGGGTTAGACAATTTCAACCGCCAATCGATTGCCGCCTTTGATACAAGGAAAGAAAGGTCTCCATAAAGCTTTCCGAAGTATATAGATAGATGAAGAAGATGGCTTATACAGCCGGGTAAAACTCACCACCTTGTCCCGTTCCTGAGATTCGTATTGACCATAACCGGCCTGGATTCTTTCTCTCTCGAAATCCGACGTGGCAATGCGGTTTCGTTCCCGGACGCATACATGCCACAGAGCGTGGAGGTCCTCCCAACTCCTTTCGCGGAGTTCTTGGATACCCCATGGACGACCTATATTGCCAACGTCAGCACTGCTCATAGAACATTCATTCTATCAATTGGGAACTTGTCGAACTAACCATGAGTGTTGTCATAAGCTGGAGTGGGCAATGCCTCCCGGTTAGGGGGAAAAATCCCCAGAGTCCATGGTTGGGGTTTGTTTCCCGTGGCTGCATCTCTTCCGGTGAGACAGGTTTAGGCAATGGCCATCTTGACACATCGAATGGGGTTCTGGGACCGGTTCGATTGATGGCCGATACACCACGGTTTTTGCTCTTGTCGCGTCGAGGGTTGGCGCCGACGGAGGCAGTGGAAGAAAAGCTTGAAGACTGGATGGCTGACACGGTCACGGAGGGGTGAAGTGATGGCGCAAGATATGTAGGAGGCAATTCAGCCATAGCCAGCCCTCTCAGGCGGCCGGCAATTCGTGGAACCTGCTGCATTGTTGTGATGGCTTTCCCCAGGATGGTCGGAGTCGGAGATGGATGGCCTTTTTCGCAAAGGCGGCAAGGATAGTCACGTGCCGCTGTCAACCCAAGACACAGCTTGGATACTAGGCAGCCTCGGGTTCATCGGGTTCTTCATGTCTTTTTTTCAAGTCACTTTTTTTTCCTTTTAGTTCCGTCTTCAATTCAGAAAGCAAAAATCCCAAATACTCAACCTGAAGACATCTTTAATCTTTACCTCTTAGACCTTGCGCCGCGGTTAATTACACACTTGGCCTGTGCACCCGCGCGTCTAACCACCCAATCGAGTTACTCACTTACTCGGCGGAGTAGTGCCGCATCAAGCGTGACAAGAGGCCTTTGTGGATTGCTCTCTCCCCTCCACAGATTCACCTCCGGTCTATTACTCGACCAATCCTCTTTTCTGGTTTTTGACATATTCCGGGATATTGGAAACTACCGTCTTCCCAAGAAATATCGACTATGAATAGGCCAGGTTCGTCATTTTCCTTCAATGCCTTCGCAAACCCTTGTGCCTTTCTTATCTCCCACCTACCTCCGCGGCATACTTGATATATAGTCGAACTTGCTTCTGTGCTGGCCTATACTCTCCTTAATAGGAAGAGTCTAGCCAGCACTGTGAAATCATCGGGGGATCCAATGGCAAGCCTTGGTGCATATGGTTTTACATTTGTGACCGAGACATTTGCAAGGACATGCCCGCACATTCTTGTGTTGTGGTGTTGACCCGAGCAGCCCTTGATGCGACGATCGTGCTGACTTGTCACGCTTGTGTCAGGACCTGGCCCGCAGCCGCTGAGAGGCATGTCCGGATTCCCCACGCAACAGCAAGCACAAGCTCGAACTGCATCATTAGCCTCCACGCCATTGTCAAACGGGAAACTGGGTGCGGTTGCCTCGAGTCATACTTTCTGGACACTCAAGATTATTTGCATGAAGGGGTGCTAACACGGGAATCTCAATAGGCGGCAGTGCGAATTGGAGCTTCAATCTACCTGTTAGTGGAACATCTGGCCTACCAGGCACTCAACAACGCACAATGGGGACCATGGGAAGCTTTGCGCAAAGTCTTGGAGGATCTCAATCCGCGGCGCCACTTGATCTCTCGTAAGTACTCTCCTGCCATGGTTTGCAGTGGTCTCCTGTATCTCTAGGCCTTCCAATTTGTCTCCGAACTGACGAAGTCGGTGATTCTAGGGAGTTCCCTTCGCTATCAGGAGCATCACAGCAATCACAGTCACAAACTCCTGGTCAGCTAATGTGGGCCAACGCAAGTCAACGCGCTGCTCAGCAAACACCTGTCCAAAGACAACAACAGCTCCCTCCGACATCGCAAACCCCCTCCCGTTCCTCCCAACCCCAGGGTCTTCCTACACCTCAACAATCTCAACCACCGCATGATGACATGTTTCCTTCTGGCGCGCAATTTGCCAATCGACTCGATGACTTTAGAAATGGTGGCCAGGGTATTAGTAGCCAACTCGGTGCGGGTGGCCAGCCCCAAACAGGCAATATTGAAGAGTTTCCCCCTTTGGGTCGCAATGCTGCTGCTGAGCTTCCTCTCGGTCGAACTGGTTCGTTGATGCAAGGTGCAGGCTTTGGGGGCTATGGAACTGGTCTAGGGACATCGCGGTCACCAGTCAGCCAAGTGCCCAATGGCATTATGGGACAAGAGAAAGAAGTAGGCCTCGACAATAATAGTCTTTTTCTAGGCGGCACTAACTTTATCTTAGGACTTGAACAACGGTGTGCTGCCGGGCCAGCGTAACTTTAGCGATCCACAGCTACAGCAAAGACAGCCAGAAAGTAGCGATGGACAAGATGTTTCTAGTGCGCCCCAGAGTACCGAGCAACCGCCCCTCGCACAGATGAGTGAACTTGACAGGTTTGGGTTGGCGGGTCTGCTGCGCATGATTCATAGTGAGAGTCCTGATGTTGCAAGTCTCGCTGTTGGCCAAGATTTGATGACTCTAGGATTGGATTTGAACCAGGCGGAGTATGAGTTCCTTTGTTCCCATACTATTCTAACATACTAATATGCCTCTCCATATAGGCCGTTACACACATCTTTTGCTTCACCATTCGTGTCATCAATGTCAGCAGTACCTCTGGAACAAGACTTCTCTTTGCCAGGTTGTTATAATGTCGCCAATATCCAACCCCTCCAGTCTCGCATTCCTGGGTTCAGCGACGAGACACTTTTTTTCATCTTCTACAGCATGCCTCGGGATATTATGCAGGAACTGGTAGCCGAGGAATTGATGGGTCGCAAATGGCGGTACCACAAGCTCGAACGGTGCTGGTTGACTCGCGATGAGACATATCCTGGGCCCGTTGATGTGGAGCGTGGTGTGACGGAACGCGGCGTATATCTTCTGTGGGATTCCTCCGCCTGGAAGAAGGTCCGAGTAAGTAACTTTCATCCCTTGTTGGGATTGAAGAATCGCCAAACTAACTTTGATCGCAGCGTGAATTCATCCTTCGATATGAAGACTTGGACAACCGGTTGGATCCTAACCGAGGTGCCGCTCGCCCACCTGGCGTGGTGCATCATGCCTCATGATTTGAAGTTGATACGACCTAGGCGTGGCCACGCAGAATACAAGCAATCCACTATGGCGTTTGGTTTACTGGTCTGTGTTATATTGCTCAGGGCTGGCCGATAGTACATTAACCTTCGGGAACAAGGCGCGTTGATTTCTTGGGTATTAAACGGGCTATGTGGGAAACCAAGATACGATCTTTGAAAATCAATGACCTGGATGATCTTGTCAGATTCCTGTAAAATGCTATAGATCGCTGTAACCCCTATATCCATATGACCCTATCCGAATTAATTCTCGATCTAGCAAGACTTGCGCGCAGTGGACAGAATAGCCACCCAATCGGTGTCGATGTTCCCATTCCCGTAAGTGTCTGCCATGTACTTCTCTAGCGCTGGACGAATCTTATCCTTGTTTTCCTCCCGTTGCTTCTCAGTCCAAAAGGAGTTGATCATCGTGGGAATCATCAACATGGCCATGTCCACGAAGACAGGCGATGTGAGAGTCTGTTTTACTGTCGTTGCGCGGACATTGATGTCCTGAAACCCACGTTCCTCAAGCTGGGACTCGATCCAAGGCTTTGAGTCCCATTTCCCATCACTCATGACTGCCAAGAGCTTTGCGGTCTCTGGAAACCACAGGTCGCCTGGCATACTTTCGATTGCATTTCGGGCAATGGCCATCCAGCCGGCTGTTTTCATGTCAGTAAATGTGTTATCTGAGAGAATAGTTCCAATACTCACGTTCGATCCAGGTTGAGAAAGCAATAGTCCCACCAGGTTGCAGCATTCGGACGGTTTCTAGGAGTAGTCTCTATTAGCCTTGAATAACAGAAAGGTAAGCAAGAATATCCTTACCATTGAGAGCCTTAACAGACTCGGGGAGTGCCATATAGGCTGTAAAAGGAAATAGCAGTTAGCCGCAGTCAAATTACATCAAAGTGCATCTAGAAACGAACTCACCGAAAGCAGTGAAAATGTGAGAGAAATGAGCGCTAGCCAGGTCAGGCTTCTGCGCATCTACGATTTTTGTCTCCGTGTTCTGCCAGCCCTCTTGCTGCATGCGGTTCGTAGTGTACTCGATCATTGCCGACGAAATGTCTCCACTGGTCAGCTTCAACATCTTCTTGACATTGTCGTCAAGCGTTTCATTAAGGATGCTGGAGATGACACCAGTGCCGCAGGCATTGTCAAGGATCACTAGAGGCTGCCCAGGATTGGCCTTAGATTCGGCGCTCACTTTGCTTTGCTCAACCAGTATTTCGGCGAATGGGCGGGTGATCATCTCCACGCGTTTGAATGAGTTAGCATAGGCTTCACTCTTAAAGAAACCTCCGAGATTGACTTTGTCAGCCATGGCTGGTAAAGCTGTCAGGCTGTTTGGTGTCGTGGCGATTGAAATTGGTGGGCGGAGATGTCTGTTTAAGAGAAAACGTCGAGTAATGTGACGCACAGTCGAGATCATGGAAAGATATCTAAGATGTTATTACTGGGTCTGATCAGCCCTTTAAATAGTCCGGGGCTCCCATACATCGTTTGCTTAGCGTTTTATCACATGGTACTGCAGGTGCTGTACGATATAGAAAGTGTCCGATAATGTCTCCGCGAGTGGATTTCACCTGAGTCATTCTTAAAAAGGCACTTTTAGTGGGCAATACCCCTTGCTGCAATATGCATATTTTAGCGCCATCAATGCTAATGATTGGCTAGGAGCGTATTTTGCGCAGTACTTGACTTCCAAGGTACCCTCGGTAGATCGTATTCATTGTGAGTAGATTGGCAAAAGAGGAGCCCTGCAGAGTCAAAAATGAAGTGGTAACATTCTTGACTGGCATTTCACGTCAGACCTCCAAATATCTTATTCCAAATATCAGTCAATAAACAAATTCTGGCGAACAGATCGATTCAAGATGAAGTCGCCAGGTGCCATTTTTTACATACTTCGATATCACGTGATACTAAACCTTGGAAGCCCCCGCGCTGACATCAGCAAAACGACGCCAGACCCAAATGGGCAAACCATCAACAGCGGGTGCGGCAAAACAATCAATTCCCTCCACTTCCCTTCTGCGCCGACTTATGCACTCTGGTAGCGAGCAGAACGCCGTTTCGGAGTCGCAACCATGAGGATTACTGAAATTGTCATAGATGTGAGTTTACATATTGCTCTATCGCTATTAGCTGCGCTAACTATGTCGTCAGGGCTTCAAATCGTACGCCGTGCGTACGGTGATCTCAGGATGGTATGCAATCCTCCGTATCCAAGCATGAATTAAATCGTGGATTTGGCCCGGTCTGGAAGTGGTTGGATTTACTGACCGCGCAATGTAGGGACGAAGCCTTCAACTCGATCACCGGCCTAAACGGCAGTGGTAAATCTAACATCCTCGATGCCATTTGCTTTGTGCTTGGTATCACGAATATGACCACAGTCCGCGCGCAAAACCTCCAAGATCTCATCTACAAGCGCGGCCAAGCCGGTGTCACGAAAGCCAGTGTTACAATCGTTTTCGACAACCGGGATACTGCAAAGTCGCCGATCGGATTCGAAGAGTATGCGAATATCTCCGTCACTCGACAGATTGTGCTAGGCGGCACAAGCAAATATTTGATCAACGGCCACCGCGCGCAACAGCAGACCGTTCAGAACCTGTTCCAGAGTGTCCAGCTGAACATCAACAATCCCAACTTCCTCATCATGCAAGGTCGCATTACGAAAGTCCTGAACATGAAATCGGTCGAAATCCTGTCGATGATCGAGGAGGCAGCTGGTACACGAATGTTTGAGGATCGAAGAGAAAAGGCAAACAGGACAATGGGAAAGAAAGAGCTGAAGCTGCGTGAGATCGAAGAATTGCTGAAGGAAGAGATCGAGCCTAAGCTCGAGAAGCTCCGGTCGGAGAAGCGAGCCTTCCTCGACTTTCAACAGACGCAGAACGACCTCGAGCGCTTGACTCGACTTGTTGTCGCACATGACTATGTTCGTGGCGGAGAGCGGTTGAGAATTGCAGGCGCAGAGTGCGAAAACAAACGTAACAAAGCGCAAGCCCTCGAAGATAATGCGATCAAACTAAAGAGTGAGATTGCGCATCTGGAGGAGGATGTGAAGCGAGTGCGCACAGCTCGCGACAAGGAACTCCGAAAAGGTGGGAAATTTCAGGGGCTTGAAGATGAGGTCAAGAACTACTCGCACGAGTTGGTCCGACTGGCCACAGTCTTTGATCTGAAAAATGCAAGCATAGACGAAGAGAAAGTGAAACGACGGACTATTCAAAATACTGTCACTGATCTTGAGAAGGTCTTGAAGGAGAAGCGCAAGATCTATGAGAAGCTACAGGCTCAGTATGACACCGCCAAGGCCGAGTTGGATGCACAGAATGTGGAAGTGGAGCAAAAGGAGGAACTGCTTCAGACGTTGCAGACTGGTGTCGCCTCAAAAGAGGGCCAAGAAAGTGGTTACCAGGGTCAATTGCAAGATGCCCGTAATCGCGCAAGCAATGCTGCCACAGAACAAGAGCAAGGAAAGATCAAAATCAACCATCTCGAAAAGCGAATCAAAGAAGAGGAGCCTCGCGCAAAGAAGGCAAAGGAGCAAAACTTGGGGCTTCTGCGCGATCTCGAAGGGTTGAAATCGCAAGCCAACAAGCTGGAATCCGAGCTGACTCGGCTTGGGTTTGAGCCTGGAAAGGAGGAACAGATATACCAGGAGCAGACCGAGCTTCAACGAGATATTCGCGACCTCCGCCAACGGGCTGATGGGCTCAAGCGGCAGGCAGCGAACATTGATTTCAACTACACGGACCCTCATCCCAATTTTGACCGGTCCAAGGTCAAGGGTCTGGTCGCTCAACTTTTCACTCTCAATAAGGACCAAGTTCCGGCTGCAACAGCCCTGGAGATCTGCGCCGGAGGCCGCCTTTACAATGTGGTCGTGGACAGTGCAGAGACCGGCACTCAGCTTCTTCAGAGAGGCAAGTTGCGCAAGCGAGTGACTATCATTCCCCTTAATAAGATTTCTGCCTTCAAGGCCTCAGCGGAAAAAATCGGAGCTGCACAGAACCTTGCCCCTGGAAAGGTTGACCTCGCTCTATCCTTGGTTGGATACGATGAGGAAGTTCTAGCGGCAATGAACTATGTATTCGGCAACACCCTGATTTGCCAGGATGCCGAGACAGCTAAGAAGGTAACATTTGATCCTTCAGTTCGGATGAAAAGTGTCACACTCGAGGGCGATGTGTATGATCCGTCCGGAACACTTTCCGGTGGAAGCTCCCCCAATTCTAGCGGTGTTCTCGTTACTCTACAAAAGCTCAATGATATCACCAAGGAGCTGCGGAGCAAAGAACGACAGCTCGCGACTTTGGAAGATCACATGAAGAGAGAGAAGAAAAAGCTCGATGCTGTTCGCTCCATCAAACAAAATCTGGATCTCAAGACCCACGAGATTAAGCTTACCGAGGAGCAAATTAACAGCAACTCTTCGTCTTCGGTATGTATTTCTTCGAATCTGTTCTCCGCAATTTGCAACTAACCCAAACTAGATCATTCAAGCTGTTGAGGAAATGCGAGCCAACATTGAACAACTCAAGAAAGACATCGCCGACGCTAAGTCTCGCCAGGCGGAAGCATCCAAGGATATCAAGCGGATCGAGAAAGACATGAGCGAATTCAGCAACAATAAAGATAGCAAGTTGGAGGAGCTGCAGACTACACTCAATAAGCTCAAAAAGAGCCTCACCAAAAACTCCAGCTCAGTCAAAGAGCTACAGAAAGAATTACAGACTTCCAGACTAGACTCTGAACAAGTTGGAAGCGACTTATCCGCGGCTGAGGAGCAATTGGTTGAGTCGGACAACACCCTCAGTGCCCAAGTAGAAGAGATTGAATCGCAAAAACGGGAGCAATCGCGGTTGAAGGTATGTCATGCCCTCGCAACATTACTAAATAACCATGTTACTAACAATGTCAGGATGCCCATGACATCGCACAGGCTCAACTTGATGACGAGAGAGCTAAGCTGAGCGGCTTTGACGAGGAATTGCGAGAATTAGAACAAGCCATGAAGAGCAAGTCCTCTCAGATCACCGAGGATGGGCTAGAGGCGCAGAAGCTCGGCCATCAGCTCGAAAAACTCCAAAACGACCAGCACACTGCTAGCCAGGCCGTGGCTCACATGGAACAGGAACATGAGTGGATTGCGGACGAGAAAGAAAATTTCGGACGGGCCAACACTCCTTACGATTTCCAGAACCAGAACATTGCCGAGTGCAAATCTACCCTACGCAACTTGACAGAGCGATCTCAAGGCATGAAAAAGAAGATCAACCCGAAGGTCATGAACATGATTGACAGCGTCGAAAAGAAGGAGGCTGCTCTGAAGAACATGATGAAGACAGTCATCCGTGACAAGCGAAAGATCGAGGAGACCATCATGAACCTGAACGAATACAAAAAGGAAGCTCTCCACAAGACATGGGTCAAGGTGAATGGCGACTTTGGACAGATCTTCAACGAGCTCCTACCAGGAAGCTTTGCCAAACTCGACCCTCCCGAGGGCAAGGACATCACAGATGGTCTTGAGGTGAAGGTGTCTCTTGGCAAAGTCTGGAAGCAGAGTCTGACGGAACTGAGTGGTGGCCAACGTTCGCTCATTGCTCTCTCATTAATCATGGCGCTCTTACAATTCAAGCCTGCGCCGATGTACATTCTGGACGAGGTCGATGCCGCGCTAGATTTGTCACACACGCAAAATATTGGTCGACTTATCAAGACCCGTTTCAAGGGATCTCAGTTCATCGTTGTCTCGTTGAAGGATGGCATGTTCCAAAACGCCAACCGCATCTTCCGCACGCGGTTCAGCGAGGGTACCAGTATTGTTCAAGCATTGACTCCTGCAGACTTGAAATAAGCATGCACATGAACTTGGTTGTCTATAGTTTCTTTCTTGGTGTGTTGGTCGGTTGGGTGAGATTATTATGTCTGGCCTTGGTGTTTGGTTGTTTTTGGATGGGAATGAATTTCTGTTTATGAATTATGCATGGTAAAGATTATTTTCATTTCAATTGGATCTTGTCCTCCGTTTTAATAGATTCGATGCTATAAAAGCAACATGTGTACTATCTTAGAATTATATATAACTAGTCTGCAAAGAGTGAATGATACCATGTGCTTCATTTCTGGAGCAGTTCAAGTTATAGAGTACATGTGTATATCTATAAGCAAAAAAAGAGAGTTCAATTATCATTATTTTTTCATACTTTGACTCTTCACAAGTATATCTCAGCGCCAATATAGGTGTCGCTGACGACAAACTTGGAAACTCCGGTATCCGGCACGTGCCCGGTTCTCGACCTGACCCGTGCCACCTTCCAATGCGCATTGTTTCTGAAATTATTATTACCCCCATTGCGCCAATACTGAAGTACATCACCTAGGCTTCACTTATATTAAACATTTGAATCATAGACAGCTTGACGCCTTGCCTTTGTCAGAAACGGTACAGCCAGATACCAGCACCGGGGACCCTGAACGCTTGAAGAACTGAATCAACTTGCGCTCCGCCAACACAAGATGACAGACGACGAGCCTTCGCTGAACATACCGTCGCTTCTCACTCTAGCGGTTGTATCGTATTTTGTGCTCCGATGGTTCTTCAACCGCGATGAAAGCTCCGCGGGAGGTAGCCGAGGTCGGGGGCGTGGCAATGTCGTCGATCCGGCACAGGTGGAACAAATCGCGCAGATGTTCCCTCAACTGAGCACTCGGGATATAATGTGGGATCTGCAGCGTAATGGGGGCAGTGTCGCCGCGACGACAGAGAGGGTTCTGACTGGACGGGGGCTGGAAACGGTACGTGTTGAGCTGATGCTGTCATTAATTTCCCCACCTTATTTTTGTCGAAGACACCTTGACTTGGTTTCAGGCTTCAAATATCAGCTTCAAATTGATACCAAAGCATTGACTAACCTACTCTTTTAGCCTCCCCCTTCGTTCCAGCCTCCGGTCGCAATCCCCTCCACCAACATCCCGCCGACGCAGACCCCCACCGCCGCATCCCCACCCAAAGCCGATGCACAGGACTTGATATCTCGGTATAATCTGCGTGAAAAGGCCGCGAGCCCTCCCCCTCCTGCAGAGTCACAACCCGAAACACCTTCCAAGTCCTCCTGGTCTCAGAATAAGGAAGAGCGCCAGCGGATACTACAAAAGCGTCGGGATGATATGATCTTGGAGGCGCGGAGGAAGATGATGCAAAAGAACCAAGGCAATGTCCAATGATATGAGAATTATCACGCTCGCAAGTCGACAATGCGACTTTCTGTACACTGCTTTTAACGTCGATAAACCTGGACCCGACACCAGTGTTTCCCGGAGGCCGATATACCCTCTCCATTCTTTCGGTTTTGTTTCGCAATATCATTCCTCTTCGTTTGTAATTAAAGCGTCCGCATGCTGTATGGTGTTAGTTAAATTGGAACAGTTTTGATTCTAACCGTTGATCATTGGATCCGGAGGGTATATTGGATTATATACATGAAAGTCGTTTTGGTATGCGTCACATGCACCGAATAATAACTCCTGAAAGATACCCCCAAATAGGAAAAAGAAAGTGCCTCAAATGCTTAGAACTCCATGTAATCCTCTTCTTCATCGTCCTGGGTGCCATCGTAGCCACCGTTTGCTCTCTGCTCGGCCATTTGTTCACGCCTGGCCTGTTCCTTGGAGGACCCAATTCTCCTATGAGTCGGTTAGCAACCAATTTCCCTTGATACTCGGACATGCAGTATCCGAGAATGAGATCAAACATACCTAAGACCATCCACCACGCCAGTAATAAACCCTCGCTCCTCTCCCAACTCCATAGAACCGACACCCGTTAAAGAAACACCACCACCCCCAGTCGCCGCAGCATCCAGCACATCAACACCAGACCGCATTTTCGCCATGCGCACCTCACGCAGGTCCTTCAGCAGTCTCCGTATTTGATCCGGGTCCACGAGATCATCGCTCGCAGCCTCAAGCAGCATATTACCAACCTCAACCCAGTGGAACGGTAATGAAAGAGGATCCCGCGAAGTCGTCACGGTCTGGGCTGTGTTTTGTGGTAGGAAGGGCGGCGCCGCATAATACCGATTGCCATCTGGTGTATACTGCGGCCGAGCAGATGGTATGACGTCGGGTTCTAGAATGCTGGGTTGGCCGGGTAGGGGAGGAGGTGGGGAGAAAGCATTTTTGTAGTCTTGGTGCTGGGACTCGAATTCGAGGATGAGAGATAATGGCTCAGGGTGTAGCCATGTTGGTGGGATGATGTTTGCGCGGCGTTGACGTTTGAGGAGGAGTGCGAGCCAAAGGGGAAGGGAGGCGCGTCGGGGTGGGACGAGAGCTTCAACAGGGCCCTGAGGATAGTTAGCTTTGGGGGGTTCAGATGAAGTAGTTCGGAGGCGCATTCACTCCTAGTAGTTCGAGGCCTTCTAGACGTTGGCGAGGCACAATTGTCACTGTTTCCATCTCCGCCAGGAAGGCGATCTCTGAGGCTGTGATGCCCCGAGGAAGAGGAAAAGCCATGAAGAATGTGTATAGTAAAGATGAAGGGAATTTCAATTCGTCACGCGAGTCGCGATCCCATCGTTTTTCTTAGGATGATATAGGTCGTTTTGATTGTGGGCTTGACCGTTTGCTTTGCTTTCGTCTTTTTTTCTTCCTTTTCTTATTTGATGAGTTTATCTCTGCGTTTCAAACACTCAATTGACTGTTATTGAATGTCTTCACTTAATTTCAAGTTGCGTTGAGATGACAACGTCCAAACGGTCCAAACGTTTGAAACGTTTGCATCGGGCTAAGTCCGACTGGGACCCGGTGGCCAGCGAATTGAGAATCGTCTGGCAACTTTACATGGTCGTTGCGAATGATCATTTGGACAGCATGACCAATCCTCCGGAATCAGATCGCAGTCGGAGTGCTCGATGGTTGGTTCCATTTTGCTTGGTTTTAATTCCTCTCTGGGTGAGTCTTGTCAACAAGGCTGACCCAGAACCTTACCTCGACGAAGTCTTCCATGTCCCACAAGCACAAGCATACTGGGCGCATAAGTGGACGCAATGGGATCCGAAGCTTACAACACCACCGGGCCTGTATTTGTGCTCATACACCATCTTTGCTATTGTATTGCTGCTACGCGGGTCCCCGACAAAGCTCACTCCGGATGTCCTGCGCATGACGAATGTTGGTGCGACAACAGTTATTCTCCCCTGGAGGCTGCAAAAATTGCTTGATACCTTACAGAAAGCGAAAAATACTCGGCCGCTGGGAGCGAATGTGTCCCATACCGTGCTGAACATCTGCTTGTTTCCCCCGCTATTCTTCTTCTCTGGTCTGTACTACACAGATGTTCTCGCTTTGCTGGTTGTCGTGGAGGCATACAACTGGGACCTGAAGAAAGATTCAGAGAGAGATCATAAAAGTGAGTTGGGGGAAGACGCGAAAAGAGCGCCTAGCAATGGTATCCAGGAGACATTGGGATTCTTGGCTTTCGCGCTGGCTGCACTGGTCTTCCGACAGACCAATATCTTCTGGGTTTCGGTTTTCCTAGGTGGACTTCAGGCCATCCGCAAGATTCGAAAGTCTGCCACGCCGTGCATGTCATCCAACCTGTCGACTATCCTGAAGCAAGGTCTGCAAAAGGAGCTGTATGATCCTCTCGTTTCGGAGGCTTCCTTGGAAGGTAAATTGATCTGTTGAATATGGAGCAAATAGGGGACCATTCTAACTCGAGATATAGATTATCTGAAGACCGCTGTTTCACTTGCAACTGTCGGCCTGAAGCAGCCTTTTTCTCTCCTTGTTTCTCTCATCCCTCACATGATCGTCCTTGGAGCCTTTGGTGCATTTGTAATTTGGAACAACGGGGTCGTCCTAGGTAAGAGTGACCCATTTTATTACAGCAGATGCGACTTCTTGACTGACAGCTGCTATCCAATAGGCCACAAGGAGTTTCATACCGCGGGTATCCACCTGGCTCAGATGCTCTACATCTGGCCGTATTTCACCTTCTTCTCATGGCCTCTTTTCGTCATTCCTCTGATCAACATTCTCGCCCCCAAGCCACTCCCACAATCTCTAAACCTCGGCTTCCCGCCGAAACAGAGGAAATATCCCAAGCTCAAGGCAGCACTGATTGTGATCCCACTTATGCTTGCCGTGGTCCACTTCAACACTATTGTACACCCCTTCACCCTCGCTGATAACCGACACTATGTGTTCTACGTGTTCCGTATTCTCCGACTCCACCCAGCAGTCAAGTATGCTGCAGTCCCAATCTATTTCCTCTGCGGATGGGTCGTGATCTCCGCCTTTGGATTTACCACTATTCAACGTCCGCCCAAAACCCTTCGAGTTCAAAAATCTGCCCCAGCTGCACCACCGGCCCCGGCTCTAGCCCCAGCCCCAGCCCCGGCAACTGAAGAGCCCAAACCCACTAGGTCTTCTGTGAGAAAGCCTGCACCGGCGCACCAACAGCCTCCAAAGGGAACAAAGAAGCCCAACCCGCCCAATATCAAGAAGACTAAGAAGCCCGAGCCACCAGCAGAGCTCAGTAGGACTGTGCCACCGGCAGATATTACGGATCCAAATGATCCCGCGATCTTGGCTAGAGTCCAACAACACATCCTCACCCGGCAACGAGAATTGTTGGAGGCGCCGCGCGTTAGCTTCGTCCTTGTTTGGCTGGCCGCTACTTCCCTGTCTCTCATCACAGCACCCCTCGTCGAACCCCGCTACTTCATCATCCCGTGGGTTATGTGGCGTGTGCATCTTCCTCCTCTGCCATGTCTGTTCAGGGACCGAGAAACTCGCCCCCGCACAGAGGAAGCTAAGCGCCGCTCTGATTTCATTATAAACACACCAAAATTCGTGGAGACAGCCTGGTTCTTGATCATAAACTTGATCACTGGGTATGTCTTCCTGTACAAGGGCTTTGAGTGGCCACAAGAGCCTGGCAAGACTCAGCGCTTCATGTGGTGATTGTTCCGCCTTTTTTTTCTTTTGATAATTTTTTTGGCCTGCCTTAGTCTTGGAGGTCGCTTGTACAATAGAAATTTGAATTTGGTTGGTTACTTCTAAAACCCATTTGAGTTGAATTGTGGTCTGCTATCAAACCCGCCTTGGCATAGTACATATATACATGTATGTATAGAAGGCGAGCGTCATCATCATTCCGAGGTGACTGACGATTGCAGATCCTGTCTTTGGTTAAGAGAGAGCGATATCTACGTGTCTCAGATTTCAATCCACTATATACCAAATGATACAAGAGATACCCCTCACTCTCCATCCCCATTTACACCTACTGCTCGCCCTTCCACACGGTATATTTGCTGTAAATATCATGACGGAAGGTTTGCTTTAGCCCTGCGACAAACTCCACATCGACCGGCAACTTAGCCTGGATGGCACCGATACCACAGAGGTTATTCTTTCGATCAATGAACCAAGCAAGCGTCACACCACCGCCCCAAGTCAATGTGCGCTCTCCATACCAGCCATCAGCATCCTCAAGCGTCAGCAAACCGCCCAAGCCATGGCCAACTTTCATCCCCGGCTCTGTGCCCACGCGGAAGAAGGGCCCCATAGGACTAGCAAGCGCAGCTTGATGACTTGCCGCCGCTTCTGGGCTAAGGTGTTGCTGGAACATATTGTCGACGGTATTGGCATTGAGCAAGACGCCATCATTAGCCAGCACCGATCGCAAAACCTTAACAAAACCCAAACCGGGCACAAACAGCCCATGACCACCAAAGTCACCACGACTGCGCAAGTTCATCTCGCCGCCACCGCCGAGCACAGCACTACCAATAGCACCGGGGTCATCGGGATTGAGGTCGACGAGACGGGTTCGCAGGTCCTCACGGGTAACAGGATAGAACTGAGCATCTGTGACCCCAAGAGGGTCAAATATACGCTTCTGCATGAATTCCATCAGCGTGAGCCCCGTGACACGCTCCACTAGGCGACCGGCCCAGTCAAGGCCCGGCCCGTACATCCAGCCAGCACCGGGCTGGAAACTGAGTGGATAGCTGAACCTTTCCTCAACGGGAAGACGGTCTTGACTCTCGGTGTTGGTAAACTGCGCGCGCCACTTGGCGGTAAGTGGGTTGATGAAGTGGTAGCAGGTGCCGGAGCTGTGTGTGAGCAGCATTTTGAGGGTGATGGGGCGAGCTGGTGGGTCGAGCTGAGGGCTTCCATCATCGGCAAAGCCGGTGAGAACATGTTTGGCAGCAAGCTCTGGGGCGATGGACGACAAGTCGCCGTCTAGAGTTAGTAGGCCATCTTCGACGCATTGTAGGGCGGCGATGGTGGTGATAAATTTGGTGGCTGAGGCCATGTACAGCACATCATCGAGCTGCTGTGGCTTCTTCTCGCCTGAGAGTAGAGTGCGCTCTCCAATGGCCTTGTTGTAGAAGAAGTGGCCCTCGGCATCAGTAGCACAGATTACAGCGCCGCTGATCTTGCCGGCGTCGATAGCGGATTGAAAACTAGTTTCCATGTTGAGAAAAACCTATTGATGTAAAAGCTCTACTAATAAGCAGGAGGGAGGGGTTAAATAATAATAAATTACGGAGTAACAATGTACTTTGTAGTTATACAATAAGTGGATAGATCAACCTGGGGAAGGCAGTCTTCAGAGGCCAATGCGCCATAAGTAACTTATTTTGCCTACAGTATACTCTGTAATATCGGTATTTTATACATCTGAATACACCGTCTGACCAATTCTACTCCGTGGTAAGATTCAGGTTGAATTCTCGTTGAATTCTTGATGCCTAGAGTCTTTGTGGTCCCACTTTCAAATGTTCCATGGCTAACTACTGAGTGCATGACATTCGTAGTATACTTCAAAATTATACTGTGGCTAAATTCTGTGCCTGCATATTTGAATTTCATACCTAGATTTTTATACTTGATTTTTATATTTAGATCTTACAGTGAGACCTCTAAAATATTAGATGGAATTTTGTACGTCTGCATATAAAGTAGTATGTGATAGTACAAAGTTGTCGCCTAATACTTCCGAGGTCTCATGTATACTAAAATTCTTAATAATGCCTTTGTTCTATTCTCAAGTTCCACTTTCCATATTTTTATATTCTAATTCTCCGTAATATACTCCGTAGATCTCTCTTCAATTCTTACATATTAACTCACCAGCTAAAAGAGACCAATTATTTGTATTGTACGGAGTACAGAGTGGGTAATGAACAGATAATGAAAAAGGCTGGCGGTGAGCTAGGCGGTCAAAATTCACTATGGGAGGATTAGTTACGGCTCACTGGCACCTGGGGACTGCCGTACCTCGGAGTCTCTTTTGGGACTAGGTTCACAGTTGATCTATCTACTGCTCTAACCGCGTATTATCTCTTCCGGGTTAACTGTTGTTCCCTTCGATTACGTGAGTGGCTGGCTATGGAAGTTGAACAGAATAAAAGAGGCTGTATGAGTATAAGCTCAGGCCAGGAAAATATGCCTCAGGTGAATATATGTGACAAAATACATGCTTCTTATACAGCTTGTTGTGGTACTTTCCAGCTATTTAGACATCAGGGGTAATCTCAAGTCCCAGTTGCACCAACAAGACCCATGCAAACGCTGCTGCCATTGGCACAGCAGGAGCACCACTAGTAGAGGCCAAAAATACTCGTGGCAGTAGCGATAGCAGTGTGGCAAAAGCTGGGGGTATAGCGATTCTTGATTAATCCTTAGGCGGTCAGCGAACATACTCCCCAAATTGAATACCTTGCTTCGTATCATAAAGCGTCCAGAAAGTACATACGCACAGAAAAGGCTGGAGACAATCCACAGTTTCTAGCCTCCCATAACCAATTCACATTCGATACATTACGATGCAATGCAGACATCCAATGGATAGACCAATAGATTCACCTGGAGTACATATGGAGTCTGTTTTAGAATAAGGTTGCACTGTGTGGGTCCGCTAAAACAGTCAAACCTTGGAAGCGGGCTGTGGTCATGTGGTAAGGCGATTAAGTATATGAAGTCAAGCTATTCCTAGACAATAATTCGGGCGCCGCAGGGGTAACGATAATTATAAATACATAAGTATGTATTGAGTCATGATAGAGTGCATTGTTGCAAGGTTGGGAGACCCTGGTCACGATTCCCATCGTGACCAAAGTTGGCGGCCTGGTGGTTAGTGACTGCGCCGCGGGGAATCTTTACTATGTATCTCCGCCCCCATCTAGGGAGCACTTCTTTTCTCTCTTTTTTTTGGTAGAAAAGTGGGAAGGTATAAAATCAGCCTAGATCCACTTGAAAAGGTTGGCAAACCAAGATCCCTGATTTGGTCTCCAAGGAGCCTGCTTCATTGACATGGAACATAGATTGAATATATATTTTCCTTAAGATGGTACCTGTACTTTTCTAAGTTGTAATATACTTCTACGCTTCCTCGGATGTTATTGAAATGGTTCATATTTCCAAAACTTCATAACAGACTGGTCATTAACATGCAAACCTAACAGCAGATCTATTTTTGACGCATATGAAACAGAAGGATCCACGGATCCACGGGTATCTGTATCCATCTAGTCCTCATCCATCGACTCCCAGCCATCACCACCACGAGGCTCACCCTCATCATCGTCCTGCTCCTCACCCGAATCAGACTCCTCATTATCAGGACTGATACCAACAGTGCGCTCCTGGACTTCACCAGCAAGATCAGGCAGACGAGACACAAACGCACGACGGACAGCGCCGTTAGTCGAAGCATCCCAGATCTGCACATTACCCTTGCTGCCGGCAACCGCCAAGCGGAAGCTGACCTCCTGGTCAGGGGCGAAGGTAGTGGAGAACACCTTGCCGACCTCAAGCTTGCGAGTGACAATCAGAGTAGGTCTGTCGTTCTCGACACTCCACAGCTTGACGGTCTTATCTGTTGAGCCAGTCACCAGGAAGCCGGGGATGTAGCGGTTGATGTCGAAGGATGAAACGGAGGAGTCGTGTGCTTGCAGAGACCAGACGGGCTTGGACTCGGCAGGGGTGGCGGGGACATTGCGCATATCGTAGCGGTAGACCATGCCGGCGTCGGTGGTCACGTAGAAGTAGTTCGTGTCGTGCGAGTCCCAGCGCACACACTCGACGTCTGCGTCGACGCCCCAGCGTGCCTGGGCGTCCGGTGCACGCATATCAGCTGCCACTACGGTGCGATCGTAACTGCCGCTCAGCAGGATGGTGGACTCGGTTGGGTGCCAGTCTAGTGAGCAGACCTTGTCCTTGTGGTTGGAGTAGGACTTGGCGCAGGTGGCGGTGTTGAGATCCCAAAGCTTGACGGTCTTATCGGCTGAGCCGGAGGCAAGCAGGTTGCGGTGCTGACGGTTGGCGGCCAGCGCCAGGACGGCATCGATGTGGTACTCGTCGTTGGCCTTGGCCTTCTTCTTTTGCTTCTTCTTCATCTTTTCGGCGTCCTGGCCACCCTGTCCGAGAATAGCGTTGGGGTACATGCAGTCCACGACGTCCAGATCCCAGATCTCGATATCGGGCTCCATGGTTCCGATAGCCACAAAGTTTCCTTGTGTACGACCATCGGGGTTATTGCCAACGGGGATATCGAGCCATTCCGTGCAAAGCGGGATGCCGGGCAGCATGATGTCGTGGTGCACGTAGAGGTTGTCCGCCTTGTCTTCGTAGACATAGACCTCCAAGTGTGCAACTTCGTCCTCCACCTTTCCGGCCAATAGAATGTTGTCGTTAGGCATAATCTGGAGCTCCTCGCGTTCCTCGTCATCCTCGTCCTCGGGGATCACAAGGTAGGGGTCTTCCTCGTTGGGCTGGTGGTAGGCCAGGGATTGGACATTGCCGAACATGGTGACCTTCTCTCCATCCTCATCCTTCTCCTCCTTGTCGTAGTTATCCATGTCAAATTCCTTCAACACATCATCATCATCACTATAAATCCGATTAGTACAAGTTAAATTCTCACTGCGCTCGACACTACTCACTTTGTATCGGTGCCCTTGGCTGTGGTCTTATCCTCAGTGTCCTCCTCCATAGCAGCATCACCCTCGTCTCCGGATCCATTCTGGGCAGCATTCATATCGTCCTTCGCATCCTCAAGCTGCATGCGCGCAAGCTTAGATATACGGCCCATCTCGGCCTCGTCAATCTCATATTTGGTAGGGAACTGGGCAGCGACACCGCGCTTCACCCATGTCGTAGTCGTAATCATGGAAGACATTGTGAAAGTGTCGTGACAAAACTGATCAGACCGTCCACTTTTTTTTATCGGCGATATTTTTTTTTATCGGTGTGCCGCTCGAGGGGCTGTCCGCCCGGCAGAATCTGGCCGATCTCCTTACCGCCCGGACGTTTTGCGGAACCGCGATGTTCTTGGTTTGCGTTGATCGTACGATTGACCCTGCAATTGTCTTTCAAGTTGTTCTGATTTTCAGCCGAGTACCACTAAAATCATGCATTCTCATCTCCACACCTCTTACAATGCTAGTATGTCGAGTTTACCCACCCGGAACATCCATATGGACGTCCAATTCCACTGTATAATTGCCGATATTGACTGATATCACACAGATTGCGAAGAGATTATGACTGCTCTAGACGAGTGTCATGCCAAGGGATTTCTACACAAAGTCATCGGAAGCTGCAACGATATCAAGGTCGATGTGAACAAATGCCTCTCCGTAGAGCGATTCGAGCGCGCAAAGCGCAACCGAGACGAGGCACGCAGCAACCGCCGGCGTGTTGAGGAGATCTGGGCCAAGGAGCGCGAGCTTGACCAAGGGCCTGCTGCTGCTGCTGCTCCAGCGGCGGCGGCCGCTAATACTAGCGCTGCGAAGCAATAGACTATGCTGTGAGATGAGCATATGTCTTCATGTTTGGGACCGGAGTTTGGAGTGTACTTTTTATTGCTATTCTTTGATTTGACTCATACCTGAAAAGACAGCGCCGCTGCTTGGTATCAGTGTCAGCCTTCCGCATGAATCTGAATTGCAACTCAACTGGGATATGTTCTCGTGAGAATACACGGAGACAAGCAAACCGAGGCCAAACTATCTCCTCTCATTTTGTCGGGGATGAATTCTTGTACGATATCTGAACATGTAAATATATACATACGACCGACTGGCCTTCGCTCTGTCCTCTTTCCCGTGTTTTATCTGGCGTTAATGCCGAACACTTGATCTACGACACACTAGGGGTTGTATAATCTCTTGAATGATATCAGATGTACATTTCTATTATATACATCAGCTGAACTTTTAGATATAACCCATCCGATCTGAACGCCGCACCATAGAGTGAAATAAGGTTGAGAATGCATGCAATGATAACCAGCATCATGAGTCGCCTATGCCGTAAAGATTTAATCAAGCGTCAACCTCCATGGCCTCATCAGGCTGGGCGGTCTCCTCGTAGTCTTCACGAGGGCCCTTAGCATGACGACGTTTCCTTTTAGGCTTGGGCGCGGCAGCCTCATCCCCATCATGTTGCTCAGTAGCATCTGCGGCATCCACCTGCTTCGGGACAGCCTTGTCCTTCTTCGGTGCAGGCGCTTCAGTCTTCTTCTTGGGCTTTTTCACACTGAGAGGATTAGGCGCCTTGACCTTAGGACCACGCTTCTTCTTTGGTTCGGTCTCATCAGCACTCTCGCCGTCAGCCTCGCCATCTCTCTTGCGCTTGCCCAGCATAGGATCCGCATCCAATCCAGCGCGGAACTTCCCACGCTCATGACCATCCCGCACCATCTCGGACGGGGTGCTCATGGGCTCGAGGACCATCACCGAGCGCTTGACGTATATGATAGGTACACCGGGAATAGAGCGGGCACCTGAGCGCAATGCGCGAGAACGACGCATAGCTTCCTCTTCTTTACGATCCTCCTCTGTCTTGCGTCTGCGGGGCTGGTTCTCGCTATTGTTGGTCTTCCTCAAAATTGGATCCGCGCAGGCGAGAATGTAGTGCTCCTTGTTCTTCTTTTCGTTTGGGTTGGGTGAAAGCAACGAGAGAAGGCACTCGATTTCGTCAATGGGCGTGGAATCCGCGTTGTGTGAGCAGTGGCGGAGCGGGAGTTCTGTGGGAGGGGGAAGGAAGAGAGGTCTGTATGGCTTTTCGGTTTTGGGGTTGATGGGTTGTGCGGCCATGATAGCGGCGAGTGAGCACTTCGTCAATACTGCGAGATGATTAGTTAGGATGCGTCTTGGCGGATGGTAACTTTCGGTGTTCGGTGCGACTCACGAGGCTTGACCTTGCCTTGCACGGTTCGTTCAAGTGCAGGAATTAGATCCATCTTGAAAACATCGGTGGCGCGAAGGAAATTCGAGTCGACTGTTCGAGCGCAAGTCAGTACTGTACATTAAAATGCATTGAATGAAACATACCCAGAACCTGATAGGCCTCTCGGAAACCGAAAGTGAGCTCATACTGGTGCATAAGCTTGCGATACTTCTTTGAACGTTTGGCCCTCATTGTGAATGATGAATGTCAAGTCTTTGAGGATTGAATACAGCAAAAGGCATGAGCTTCTGCGTCAACCGAAACTTTTTTTCATTCTGCCGGGCGGGAGCCGCGGTCTTGTGGTCCGTGCATAGGGTGAGGTACCTGGTACTTTGTCCAAGTGGGGCATTTAGCATTGAAATCAAGTACCGTATACTTTACGTTTTGCTGATCTCCCCAGACTTGAGAATGAGAAATGAGAAATGAAAATAACACAGGTTATTGTGTATCGAGTTAAGGACATATTATTATTTGTTCTATTCAGACCGAGAATAACTATTAAGAATGGGCATATAAGCCACATCGTGCCAGTAATGAAATCCCTCACAGGCGATGCATAAGGAAAGGCGTCTCAAATATGATAGAGGGGATGCCTGGTATAGGTACGCATCACCAGCTTGAATGTTTAGCAATAGGGTTTCGGTGTGGTCGCAAACGACCGATGCACATTCTCCACTAGGCGTAGAGTTGTCTAAGCTGGTGGAAGATACCAACGGGAGGGGGATGGATGATAACCAGACGAGACTAAGCAATCAGTCTTCGCGCTAGGGGGCTCGCGGATATGATTTCCCGGGGGTGCATGGTTGACTGCAATGCATGCCTAGTCCTCATTTGACACCTGCAAGACATCATACCTGCACAATAGCGATGTGGTTGGACAAGCCTTTGGGGGTAGATAGATATGAGCATCTAGCATTGATGCTGGACTGCAATAAGAGCCTGTCAAGTGGGCTGATTTTCGGTGACAATGGAAGCCGGCGCATGTCCGAGACAGGCACGGAATTGAAGTTCCGATGGGTATTTTGTGAAAGAAGATCTGATCATAAAACCAATCATGGCTGCGTCTCATCCATCACTTTTCTTGCAGGATGCGACCACGACGGAGATATCGTCCATTTTCCCTCCTTCGATAGCCAGGCCCTCTTCCACTGCCTTCTCCATGAAGGGACTCTCTGCAAAGGGATCCCGGGCAATCACCAGAGCCGCATTAAGCAGCTCCCGGGCGACATAGACATTGCGGTCATCAGAGAGAGGAGAGTGACGCGGAACATTCTCTGGTGTTGCGCGCCCTTCCTCCCATTTGGCGACGCTATCCATAACAACTTTCAGGACCTCATGCTCCCAGAGGTTATCCATGACGCCATCCGAGAGGGCCAGGACAATGTCGTCTTCCTGCACGACAATTTTGGATAAGACTGCATCTTTCCGGGGTGTGTCGATACTGTTTGTGCCAAGCTGCATGGGACAATCGAACCAATGCCACTGTTCGGCTGTACGGAAAAGGACTTTGTCCTCGCTGGGTCTAATTACGAGAATCTTGCAATCGCCCAGGTTTGTAACATACAGCAATGGCTTCTGTGTACCGTCTTGTCCCTTGATCGAGTGTAGTATGGCAGTGGCCGAAGTCGTCGTGCCAAGCCACTCGGTAGGAGATGTAGTTGCCCGTAGGGTCTCCTCGTATGCATACTGCAGGTATCCGACCGGGTCGAGGGTAGACGTACAGTTGTTGACATTCTTTTCGACCTCGAGGGCCCAGAAGTGCAACAGGAGTCTAGACCAGAGTCTGTATTGGAAAATAAAAAAGTCAGCGATCGTCGCATATGATACAACTTGAGATGAGAACCACTCACGCAGCATGACCACGAGGTTTCGTAGCCCAGGCGCCTACGCCATCATCAACGCCTATGAAGTTCTCCGCGACGATGATGGCATCGTCTCCGTTGTTCAGGCCGCGGACTAGCTCTCCCTTCACGGATAATCTCTTATCCTGGCTTAGTCCGTGTGTCGTCAAAGGATCCGAGAAGGATGAAGAAGGTGGAGAAAGGAAAGGTGGGGGGAAGGGTCGTGGAGGTCGTTTGGCGCATAAGGCGTAGCCAGTCTCGAATCGAAAGGGTTGTTTGGGCGATTTGGGGAAATCGTATGGCTGATCGGGAATGGGAGTGGTGATGCCGTAGGAGGGCCACACAGCGGCATGATATAGCCGTGCCGTACTCGACTGCCGGAGACGAGCACTCTGAACCGGGGCTTGGTTTATGCTTATGTTCGCGATCCACTTGCTAATGGACGTCCATGATGACGATAATGAGTGTGACACGGCCGCTGCCTTGGTCACCATCCCTAACTTGGCTGTCTATGCACCAAGATGGGCTCGGCGAATGGGTTCTGGGGCATTAAGACATGAAAGGTGAAAAATGAAGAGATAGAGCACCAGAGGACAATAGAAAACGATTGTTGACACGGACTTAGGCCCGAGGACGCAAAGAGAAGAAAAATGCGACTCACCGGTGAAGGCCGAGAATGTCTCGAAGATATCACTGGTCTGCGCCGCCGACTGTACCTTACACTACGGAGTATCTCTGAGAATATGAAAACCATGCAAATCTCAGCATTCGTGGTATTTATTACTATTTTATTACTTAGATATTTTTTTATTTTTCTTCAATTTGTTAGATTAGTCTAAGATCTGTCAGTTTTCTGTTTTCTAAAGAGTGCAATCGATAATACAAAAACCCCACGTCTCAAGGTTAGGGCTACGTTTACTTATCTACATCCCCGCCGATCCAATGATTGTCTCAGAATTGGTCTATATCCCCGAAGATGCGGGTTTCCCTGAATTACTGTTCTTGATTTTGCTCTATTTATGCACATGTTGCAAAAGAGAAATGGGAGCAAGTTCATGGTTTAAAAGCTATTAGCCAATTCAGTAGACCGCTACCCAGCCAAGTTAGCAAGAATATGCAAAACGCCCTCAAAACGGACTGAAAAAGCACACGTTAGCAAGGAGTTCAACAAGCGGGATCTAACCTCATGTCCACCATGCCTAAAAATGACTTAGTGAAAACAATGCTGGCTGGCCTAGCAGCAATTGCCAAGCTGACTGGAGCTGTGGAATACTTCCAAATGCCCCAAAATGGACTGAAAATGCACACGTTAGCAAAGAGCCCAAAGAGCAAGATCTGATTGATATGTCCACCCTGTCTCACGATCAACTGGTAAAAATCATACTAGCCGGTCTGACACCAATAACCGAGCTGAGTGAAGCTGTGGAATACTTCCAAATGCCCCCAAACAGACTATACATCATAGATTAGCAATGAGTCCCAAGAGCTAAATCTGATATTATATCCAACATGGCTAACAATGAACCGTTGACAACGATACTAGCCAGCCCGGGGTTCATACCGAGCTGGCTGGAGCTGGGGAATACTTCAAAATGCCTCAAGATACCGGCCAAGTGGATCTTGTTAATGTTGTGAGGGTTTGATACGATGAGACGTGTGGAAGTATTGCCACTGCGATCAGGGTAGATTCCAAGGTTATTCCATAAAGCCGGGTGATCCAAATTGTGTCACTTACTACGAGTTCTTGAAGGTGCAGTTGCGTGCTTTGATGTTGATGATATTGGATCGTCCGATGTGGGATAGGTGAGTCTGTACAGAAAATTAGGTAGCATCTGGGGCTGAATTAACAATCCATTTCGTGACTGGATATGTAGACCTCTCGTGGGGGCTTTATCAAATAAATGACATGGCTCATGATCAGTTTCCGATATCTGTCAAATGATGTTATTCGCCCTTTGGGTTCCTCAGATTATTTTCCTTTGATGATTTTTCATCATCGAACACTTCCCCTCTGGAATTGATTAACCTTTCCTCCTTTTGGTTGTCGGCTTTTTTTTTGCTTGTTTTCATTTGTTTTTCCTTTTTTTTCCCGTTTTTGTTTTGCATTTTGAATTCGTTTTGAATGATTTGCTTAACCTCAGATGAACGGAATACCTGCTTCCCCGAGAGTTCTTTTCATTTGGATTATGTTTTAGCTCATGAACCGAACTGGGGACCATGAATCGTAAATCGTTGTCGTAGCCGTAGCTGTATCGTAATCGTAGCCGCAGCCGTAGTCGTTATCATAAGTCGTGGTTGGAGTGGCAGGACTGCGACCTTAAAAGCTTGCATGGGTGTCTTCCCTGGAAGCCATGTCGCGCTCCGTGGAGATAAACAAAGCGAACAATTCGAAAGATTGATCCATTTCATTGGCAATATCAGCAGCCGTCACATCCCGTCTGAGCTCGGCCAAACCATGGAAGAACATGCGAGCAGTAGTACAAGCAGTAGCGGCGAAAGTAGGTCCATTTCGTCTGCATCCAAGACCACGCTTGGTCGTCATGATGCGTACATGTCGTTCCGCACAAGGGCAGCCGCGCTCTACCTCCTGAGTACACGCCAAGGCACACGCGCAGATAGACTTGCAGATGCACTTTCGTTGTCTGATAAGGTGGTAAAGAGCAGGGGTCGACTCCTTTCTGCGTTCTTCTCCGATGGTTGTACCCAGGATTTTGGCAGCGTCGGCCAAGCGGTAATCCCTCACAATATCCGTGTCCCAGACAGACATGCCCACATGCTCCGGGAAGATCCATGGAAGCTCCTCGAGTGGAATGTCGTCAGATGGAATAGTTACTGGGGTCATGGTGAGATATTTCTCCGACATTGTTGCCATAGTCTCAGGTGAGATGACGTCAAAGAATGGAATGATTCCTCTCCATTTCTCGTAGTAAGATCCGTGTCGGTAAGAGAAAGTTCTCATCGCAAATGGGCGGTATCCGAGAGGGTCAAAGAAGGGAAACTCTTGCTGCATTTTCGTTTTTGTAACTTGATTGATGTATCCTTGCTGGAAGTGGGCGATGACATCTTTCCGAAGGATTGCGCAGATTGCTGGAGAGTCCAGCACTTCTTTGAACGTGAGAATGATGCGGTAAAGATGATCGGCCTCTGGCATGAGGAACGGAAGCTCGATTCGCAATGCTCGAAGGTCGACTCGGTAGGAACCACAGAGCTCAATGCTGGCCAGCTCAATTGTAACGCGAGCATAGAGGGCATAATAGAGGTTCTCAACGGTGTCAATCATCACAGTCATCTCCTGGGTGCGTAAGTTTTGCTCGCTGCGTTTGATCCAGTAGAGCAGACCGGTCTCGGAGTTATCGACCTAACAGTAAATTGTCGGCGTTAGCAGGTATATTTCCGAGGAGCAAGATATGGAAGTATGGAGAATGAGTGAAGCAATAAGAAGACCTACCTCAGCACCGTAGTACAAGATGATTATCTCCATCATCTTTGACATGGTGTACAACTTGCTGAAGATGCGCACGATGACGCCGAAATGAATCGATTCCTCAACAGGGTCCATGTTCTCGGGGGCCACAACCTTTGCTGGAGATGTCGGCGAAGGCATAGATGGGACCATGACCCAGTCATCGCTGCTGACAGTGTAAAGACGAAGGCGGTTTTGGCCGCTAGCAGCAAGCTATAACAGGTCAGAGTCAGATATTTCAAAATTGACACGAAGACATGAAGTCAAACCACTTACCAATGCCTCAGAAAATCCTGATCTCTCAGCGAATGAGCCAAATTCCAAGGGCGTTTTCGGTCCAGACCCAGTCGCGGTTGAGTTTGACGAAACGATGGAAGGCATGGTGGAATTGCTGGAAACTTCCCGCCGTGAGTGCTGGTTGGCAGCAGCAGAGATCATGGACAGTGCTTCGTTCACAATTGACTGGCAGTAATTAAAGAAGCGTTCCTTCATCTGTTCGATCTCTTCATATGGAGGGTCTTCTCCATCTTTGACGCGGGCACATGCATTCTCCATCTTGGCCTTGGTGGCCTGGGCATAAGCATCAATACAGTCCTTACCCCGTTGGAAAAACAAATCCAAGTCCTGTCCCGATTTCAGAGCATTCAGGCGACCCTGGGAAATAGTCGAAGCCATTGCCAGAGGGTCAAGGTTGGAATCAGACGCCATAGGGACAGATGGGAGAGGAGTAGGAGGGAACATGAATTCAGAATAAGTGGAATTGTTTGATACAGGCTGGAAACGAGGATAGACAGGCTGGGTAGGGGGGATCTCTGGCTCACGTGCAGGTGCTTGTGTTTGCGCTTTTCGTAGTTTAGAGAGAGCAGCCCCCCATAGACCTTTTTTAGGTACCATACTGTAGATGTTCCAGTATTGAGACCTGGTATTTTGCAATGTCGCGTAAAGATGAGAGGATTATTGAAGAAGGAAGAGTCGAAACGACAAACAATAGAGATTTATATTTCTTAGAATAATAATTCATGTTAATTTAATCGTAGTTTTTAATAGTAGTATTGTTTGTCGTCGATCTATTGAAAGTATAGAACCCGCGTCACGGCAGGTGCGACTGGAGGAAAAAAAAGGGAAAGGCGCCAATCAATCCTTCCTGATTTAGACGATGAGTCTAATCATATGGCCGCCTGGATGCCTATGTGAAAAGCGAGGAAATTCCGCGCAAATGACTATAACCTGCAAGTTATAAAGGTGATGTTGACGACTAAGCGCTTTGCAAGCTGGGCATCTTTGTGATTGGCCGAAATGAAGGAAAAGGAAAAACGGTTGAGGTCCGGACCCGTGAATAAAGTTTACTGCCTAAGACTACTAAGGTAATGAGACCAAGGCTTGTATAGGCGTGTTGAAGCGGCTGGGAATTTCCTTCGCATGATTGGCCGTCAACCTTGGATAGCGCAAACAGAGCGAAACAAACTTTAGTATCATTGCCAGTGTCAGTGTCAGTGCCAGTGTCAGTGCTATTTGCCATTTGCCAGTGCTATTTGCCAGTACCAGTACCAGACGATAACAGAGTGCCAGTGCCAGTGCTATTTGCCAGTACCAGTGCTAGACAATAACAGAGTGCCAGTGGCAGTGTCAGTGCTATTTGCTATTTACCAGTGCTATTGCCAGTGCTATTGCCAGTGCTATTACCAGTGCTATTTGCTATTGCCAGTGCTATTACCAGTGCTATTACCAGTGCTATTTGCCAGTGCTATTTGCCAGTGCTATTTGCCAGTGCTATTTGCCAGTGCTATTTGCCAGTGCTATTTACCAGTACCAGTGCCATTTACTATTGCCAGTGCCATTTGCCATTGCCAGTGCCATTTGCCATTGCCAGTGCCATTTGCCATTGCCAGTGCCATTTGCCATTGCCAGTGCTATTTGCCATTGCCAGTGCTATTTGCCATTGCCAGTGCCATTTGCCAGTGCCAGTGCCAGTGCCAGACGATAACGGGGTGACTGTGCCAGAGCCAGAGCCAGCGTATCTAGAGCCAGCGTATCTACCAGCGTACATATACAGAGCTAGTGCGCCTCGAGCTTGACGACTGTACTTCAGCTCGACTACTTTACTCCGAGCTCAACTGATTTGCCTTAAACCTTGACAAATGGGTTGTCTCATGGCTCTACAGGTAATACTGCAAATGATGTATCATAGATTAAGATTGAGGTCTTGATAGTGAGATGTGAAGAGGCATGTTTCGGTTGCTTGAGTAGTTGTTGAAGCTTTGTTTTAGTGTCGAAATTGTAAAATTTTTAGGGGATTGTTACAGAGACAGCCCCCCTGGCTAATAAAACAGCCCCTGCCTGATTTTTCAGGTCTTGGTGCCTGATTCATGCCTGAATGTGCCTGAATTCTGGCAAGGCCTCTGCCATATCTGACCGCCTTTCTCACCGCCTTTACCGCTTTTGCTGGTCAATTATAGTAACACAAATGGTACCTCTACTTACTATGTAAATCCCTACTAAAAACAAGTACCCCCTGTAAAGAGAAGAGCTTCATGAAGATTAATTTTACACCTTACAACCTACGTCTCTCTCAATTTCTGCTTCTCTCCTTCATGTATCACCCAATCTTCGCCTTTGCCACTACAGGTACCGCTGCCGCAAGCCTTGCTTCATCAAGGTGAACCTCCGTCGCCGAGTCTCATACCATTGCCGAGTTTAACCCCGTTGCCGTCACTATTGCAGCTGTTCCACCTGTTCCACCTATTCCAGTTACTCCTTGCCGAGTAATGGTAGTAATGTATGAATGGAACCATCAACCATGCAGAGATAAGCTCATTTTTCTGATAAAAAATATGCATTTTTTACCAAATCATTGTCCGGCAGAAAATAATACTGCCAGAATTCAGGCATATTCAGGCATGAATCAGGCACCAAGACCTGAAAAATCAGGCAGGGCTGTTTTATTAGCCAGGGGGGCTGTCTCTGTAACAATCCCCAATTTTGAACTACAAATGTGCTGCTATGTAGGAGTGAACAATGAAAAGATGTATGAACAATAGACTGGAATTGGCTCATACAAACAAATAAATTCAAAACTCTACCTAGCCCTGCACTCGGAACGTGCGACCACTAGCAGTCTTGCGCTCACGTTCCTCATTCTCTGGTCGAGCTCGGTTGAGCACTGTTGTGAGTTAGCAGGAAACATACTTTCTTTGATTGGATGGTACATACCTTGGAGGAAGTCCGCTGTCCTCTTCCTCATTCGAGTGTGGATGTAGGCCTGCAAGATGTGGTTGGTTATCAAGTCTTTATGATGTATCATGTAAACAAGACAGAGAGATACTACATACCTTTGAGGCTTTGATGTGGTAGTGGAAATAATCACGGAATGTCTGGATGTGGGAAATGTTTTCATAACGACGTTGCGGGGTCAGGTGTCGGGGAAACAGAACTGCAAGCCGAGTCAGTACCAAAATGGAGATGGAGAGCGCAATTTGAATTCATACCGAAGGTGACATAGCTAACTTCGCCTCCAGTGGCATTCAAACCAGGCACATTTGCTAGCTCAAGGGGAGGGTCGTTACGGAACAGGACTTGGGGCGCGTTCTGAAGCGTCAAGACACGTCGCCGGGCGTCGACGAATTCCTATAGGCCGTTAGCAAGAGTTCCTTATGAATCCATAAACCGATTATCATGAAGTACGAACCTGAAGGAAAACCTTGCCGAATATCCGATCTGTCTCTTCGCGGAACACGGTGCTGAAGATCACTGTGACTCGGTCCCAGTTGGCTTTGATATAGATGGCCTCCTCTTCACGGTAGTGAATTGCCATAACGTCACCGCCCTCTTGGATACCCTGTGGTGCTGACTCTGAGGTGTATCTAGAAGCCTCTTCGGCGAGCTTGTTGAATTCGTCGAATGCTTTCTCAAAGGGCGCAGCCATTGCGTTCCGTTTCAGGAGGGCAAGCTTCATAATGAGGTCATTCCGGGCCTCCTCCTCTGCAGGCAGGTTCTCAAGATCAATTTGTACTGAAAAGTCATAGCCCGGCTCCGGAGACACGATGTAGGGACCGTATTCTCTCTCCAGCACCTCCTGGGCTCCGTACTGAACCAGTTCCTTGTAGCATTTCACATTGATCGAGATGAGGATCTTCGTCTTGGACTCGGGAGTAGAGAGGTGGAATGTCACACCGTCAAAATCGGAGACCACTTGGTCAATGGATGCGGGGGGTGCTCTGAGTTCAGCTTGTTAGCCGGATGCCTGATTCGGGGTGATGTGTATACAATGCGCAGGATCGTAGTGCCGGGGGAGAGGAACAAAACGTACCCAGAAAAGCGCTCCGTTAGGAGCGACTGGATCAAAGCATTCTGGTAATCTAAGAGAAGCATGACGGGCAGGACAATGGCTGGTATGCAGGTGCAAGTGGGTGGCTGTTGTGAGGTTGCCCGTGATCGTCATGGGCGGTGGGGGGAAGCCGGAGAGGTCGCTGTCGCCGCCCGTATTAATTTTATCCTATCGATAGCAATCGGAGATTCCAAAAATTTTCCCATCCACCCTCAACGATGGTGAAATCATACTTGTACGTGCGATTTTTTTGTGATTTGGAATTATCTGATCTGAGCGCTAATCTTTGAATAGTAAATTTGAGCATTCGAATACGTTCGGGCTCGTCGCCTCGGCGTCTTCGAATGCGGTTTGGGCTAAAGATGACCAGATCGGTGTTGCACGCCAGACAGGCGCCGGACGAGCCATTGTTGGCGCAAGTGAGGAAGTTCTGTGCTGGGATGTGAAGAAGGGAGAACTCCTTGGAAGATGGCGCGATTCTTCCTGCAGAGCGCAGGTTAGTGTGGTTATTCAGAGCATGACAGATGAAGATATCTTCGCAGTTGGGTGAGTGTCCTCCGGTGTACCCTAGTCAAATCATTCTTCTCTAACTATTGCATCCTTTCTCAGCTACGAGGATGGAAGTATCCGTCTTTGGGATTCGCGTACAGCCACCGTCATTATTTCTTTCAACGGCCACAAATCCGCTGTCACCAAGCTGGCCTTCGACAACGCAGGCGTGCGCCTCGCCAGTGGTTCGAAGGATACCGATATCATTCTTTGGGATTTGATCACTGAGACCGGTCTTTTCAGACTTCGCGGACACACCGATCAGATCACATCGCTACATTTCCTATTCCCCTCGCCAGAATTGCTCACTGCTTCCGGATTGAGTGAGCACCCAGGATTCCTATTGACCACTGGAAAGGACGCATTGATCAAGGTCTGGGATCTGGCCTCTCAGCACTGCATTGAAACACATGTGGCACAATCTAATGGCGAGTGCTGGAGCTTGGGTCTTTCCCCTGATCAAGGCGGATGTATCACAGCAGGCAATGATGGTGAACTTAGGGTCTGGTCGATTGATGAGGCGGCTATGATGGAGATTTCCAAGGAGAAGGTGGGCGCGGATGGTCGCCGAATTCTCACAGAACGAGGAACTTTCTACCGACATGGCAAGGACCGCACACTCGGCATCCGATTTCACCCCCGTTCAGACTACGTTGGATTCCACGGTTCTGACAAGTCCGTCGAGGTTTGGCGCATTCGCTCCCAGTCGGAGGTACAAAAGAGTATGGCCCGGAAGAAGAAGAGAAGAAAGGAGAAGGAGGCTCGCACTGAAGAAAACGGACCGGAAGAGGATAACGATAAGCCTGAGGATGTTTCCGCCGCTCCTGTCTCTGAAGTCTTTGTCCAACATGTTATCGTGCGAACTGGTGGAAAGGTTCGTTCCTTTGACTGGATGACCAACAAGTCAAATGGCTTGAACCTCCTTGCCGCAACAACAAACAACCAGCTTGAGGCCTACAACATCGTGCCAGCGAACAAGAAGATGGCCGACAGTGAGGACCCGGACTACACTCGGAGCTTGGCGGTGGACATTCCTGGTCACCGAACGGATATCCGATCAATTGCCTTGAGCTCCGACGACCGAATGCTCGCCTCTGCTTCGAATGGCACTCTCAAGATTTGGAACGTTCGCACGGAAAGTTGTCTACGAACACTCGAGTGTGGATATTCCCTGTGTTCCGCATTCCTTCCTGGTGACAAGATTGTGGTTGTTGGTAATAAAAACGGAGAACTCGAAGTGTTTGATATCGCATCCTCAACATTGCTTGACACCATCAAAGCTCACGACGGACCGGTGTGGTCACTTCACGTGCATCCAGATGGTAAGTCTATGGTTAGTGGAAGTGCAGACAAGACAGCCAAGTTTTGGAACTTCCAGGTTGTCCAGGAGGAGATCCCGGGAACCAAACGTACCACTCCCCGCCTCAAGCTGGTGCACACAAGAACTTTGAAGGTCAACGACGATATCCTCAACCTTCGTTTCTCTCCGGATGCACGACTTCTGGCAGTTTCTCTCTTAGACAACACCGTGAAGGTCTTCTTTGTCGACTCGCTGAAGCTATTCCTCAACCTTTACGGACACAAACTTCCTGTTTTGAGCATGGATATTTCCCACGACAGCAAACTAATTGTCACTTGCTCGGCTGATAAGACCGTTCGACTCTGGGGCTTGGACTTTGGTGACTGTCACAAGGCCTTCTTGGCCCACGAGGACAGTATTATGGCAGTGGCATTCGTTCCTCACAACAAGGATGGCAACGGTCACAACTTCTTCAGTGCAAGCAAGGACCGTATCATAAAATACTGGGACGGTGACAAGTTCGAGCAAATCCAACGTCTCGTTGGTCACCACGGTGAGATTTGGGCACTTGCTATGAGCCACACTGGTGATTTCATTGTCAGTGCTAGTCACGATAAGAGCATTCGTATCTGGCAGCAAACAGACGAGCCGTTGTTCCTGGAGGAAGAACGTGAGAAGGAGATGGAAGAGGCTTACGACAGCACACTCACCGCGTCCCTTGAGCAGGAGGAGGACGGTGAAGACGGCGAGAAGGCCGAGGCCGTCGATGCTGGCAAGCAGACGACCGGCACTCTCATGGCTGGAGAAAAGATCATCGAAGCTTTGGAACTAGGCCTCGAGGATCTCGAAGTCGTACGTGACTGGCGCAAGGTCAAGGCCGCCAACCCTAACGCCGCTCCGCCCGACCGTAACCCAGTCTACCTGGCCCTCAACAACGTCTCTGCCGAGCAGCACGTTCTTAACACCGTCCAGAAGATCCCTGCCGCTGCCCTCCAGGACGCTCTCTTGGTTCTGCCATTCTCCAAACTCCCCGCTCTCTTCACCTTCCTCAATATCTGGGCCGATCGCGAATGGAACGTGCCCCTCACGTGCCGCGTTTTGTTCTTCATCCTGAAGACCCACCACCGCCAGATTGTTGCCAGCAAGATGATGCGTCCTATGCTTGACAGCATTCGGGTATCGCTGCGCCGGGTCCTTGCCCGTCAGAAGGATGAGATGGGCTTCAACCTTTCCGCGCTGCAGTTCATCGGCAACCAGATCCGCGAGCAGAGTACTACGGACTATGTTGATGAGGCTACTTGGGAGGAACAGCAAACCTCCAAGGGCACGGGTAAGAAGCGCCAGTTTGTCAGCGTTGCCTGAGTTTAGGATTAGGATTGTGTACGAGCATGTCTATTGGCGTTATGATCATTTTCGACCTTGTTACCTTGGAGGTCTTCTCTGTCTGTGTTCCATATAAAAGTTTTATATCCTTGGGAGTTGAAAGAGAATATAAGGGATGTATGATAATTCAATTTCGAAGTAAATAGAAATATTTCCCTGGGATAATTGTCTACTGTTTCTTCATGAATCCGATTGGATCAAAGTAATGGAATAATTCATTTCATTCATTGGTCTAGCTATTATATTTTTTAACGTGCAATACTCCAAGTAGTGGATGATACCGAAAAGAAATCTGGAATCTGCATTGCAAAGAGACATCGTTAGCGATTTGCTCCAAGCAACGGCACGCTGAACTTTCCAAGACCACAATCAAGAAAAGAAACAACAAGCATCCCAAGACTCTACTCAGGAGAACCAATGTAAGCATCGACGACAGGGATTTCAGCCCCTGTCATACCTCTTCCGGCTCTTCCTATAAAAATTCCGGTTCTAATGCGAATCTCATCATGATAGAGTTTGTTTGATGCGATGCTTGTTGTTTCTTCGCCTCAATTGTGGTCCAGTCAGGGGAATTTAGTACCACATACCTATTGATTGGTTCTTCCAGCATGGACCGAAGGTCAATCTCATTTATTGGTCTTGGTCCACGCTGGACTTTGGTGTTGGTTGGAGCTGGAGAACAGGAAAGAACTTGGGATGGAGTTTTGTGAGAAAATTTGGCTCGGTGGAGCTCTCTTAGTCATGCTGATCACGTGCTGATTTTATATGGGGCTCCTCTTAGGTAGCCCTCCGGAGGGCTTCATTCAGGGCTGTATGTTGAGATTATGTAATATAATGGTAATTCCAAGGTTTCTCAGGTGAGAGGCTACGCGACAATATATATATGTAGTAGAGTATACGTATCATTTAGTAAATTGGTCAAGGTTAGAAGACTATGGCTGGTTCATAACTCACGGGATCTAGAGATGGCGTAGGGACACAAAGAAGCATAATAATATTCATGCTCTATCGCTGCTGCGAAATATTAAGAAGTGCAAGATCCTTGGCCCACTAACTCAACACACGTTTGGTTACAAGTTCCAATGATAATCGTAAAATTCTACTTTTTACCACCTCGAACGGCAAGCTTCTTGGGTTTCTCCTCTTCCCCCAGTGGACATTTGTTGAGCATCCAGGCGCGGAAGTTCTCACACATCTTGGCAGTCCACAGCGGGTGGTCGGGATCGGGATTCTGCTGGGTAAAGGGGGGCATTTGGAGCGGCATGCGGCCACTAACAGTGGCCTCGTATATATTAGCGTGGTGGTAAACAACATCCTCGTATTGACCGAGGTTGTAGCCATACTCGCTGCGCATGCACGCGATGTCCTGTTCCGTGAAGTAGTGCTTGATGGTGTTGTGCCAGGTGACGTCTGTTAGAGGCGGGACCGCCTTGGGGTTGCGCCAGTTGTAGGTGCGAAAGATCTTGAACTCATTGCTGGTGAGGAAGGGGTAGTCCTGGTTATCCGGGGCGATGATGGAGGCCAGCGAAATCTTTCCCGTTTTGGCATCTGCGAGCTGCGTCCAGGCGCGGTCGAAGGGGTAACCCATGCCACGCGGGTCCGGATAAGTCTGGTCCTTGACATTAGCCCCGCAGAAGCTGATCGACGGGGTCCCAACGTCCTCCATGTCTAGCGTGTCGTCGGTAGCCATGCAGAAGGCCACGAACGACATCCCCTCCTTGCGTCCCGCCGGCAGCATCAGGTTCCGTGGCCATCCGCAGCGACACCACGACGACGCGTGCGCGGGGTCCGGCTCGCTATAGTTGCGCATCTTCCGCGCCACCGAAGACTCGCTGTCTAGCCGCACCTTAGTTGTGACCGAGCTGTCGGTCAGCGTCACGGTGACCTTGTCCATCTCGATCCAGTGGTGGTAGTGGTTAACCAGTTCCTTGGCTGCGATGAAAAACCGCAGCGTCACATTTTGAGGACACTCTTTGGAAGGAGATTCGGTGCTGGTAATATCCACACTCCATTCATATGGCTCGTGGTCGAGTTTCGCCTTAGTCTCGAGCATGTCCGTGGCCGGGGGCCCGAGGACACTGACAACCCCCCTTTGCTGTAAAGAGGGTGGTTTGTGTCCTGCGGCCGCAGCACCAGATTGGACAAGGTGACATCAGCGCGATGCTGGGTGATGTCCTGTGGGTAACGGGCACCCGCCAACCGGCCGAAATCCTGCATATGCTTGGTCCAGGGGTAGAAACAGGGGTCGCGGGCGGCGCCGAAGTTGGAGATCATAAGGCCGTAGTTGCCGTCATCGGCGACGCGGTACGACATCTCGGCAAACTTACCTAGCCCGTAGTTGTAGAGAATACCGTATAGATCCTGGTCAATGTCGAAACCATTTTCCGTCTTGTCAAAGAACTTGTACTGCGCATCGAGCAAGCCCCCGATGTAGTTCAGAATATTTTCGCCGGTCAGCAGCAAGGGCCTGTACTGGTTCCGCTTCTCGGTTACTTTCTTGGTGTTGATATACCCGTTTTGAATCGCCTTATAGATGTTGTCTCGCCACTCCTCCATATCGCCGACACCCATGGTCACGCCAGGGACGTCGGCCATGTCGGGGTTACGGATGCGGTACCACGAGGAGAAAGGCTCATAGCCGGAATAGTATTCTTGCAGTGCGGGCACCGGCTGATATCCCCACTGCAGCACCTCGTCGTACAGGTTCCAAGGACGAACGAGCGGCTGGTCCCAGCAGAGACCTTCAGCCTCGTAGCGGGCCAGCATCTGTGAGTGGGTGTACAGGAACAACTCCCCTTGTCGATTGATGGTGCGGGTATTGACCGCGTTGTCGCCACCGGCGCCGCGGTAGACAATATGCCAGTGGTAGTGGGAGTCGTTCATGTCATAATCGTCGCGCCAGTACGACAGCAATCCGGGGCCCTGCAGAATGTCGGCGGTGACAATTTCTCCGGACACTGTGGTCGGCACTGGGTCCGCTACTTTGGTCTCAGCCTTGTGCTTTTTGAAGGCTGCATGCTCCTTCAGAGGTGGTGCGTGGATGTGGCGCTCCTGCGCGTCCGGCGAATGGGTGAGGTAAATACTCATCGCCTCCCGTAGAAGGTCTGGATTCAAGCCGGCTTTGAGGTGTTCCTTGATCCCGAAGAGCGCATCCTCAACTTTGGGTCCGGCCTCCCGCAGCTCCGCGATGACATTATCTAGTGCATTCTGGTGATGCACCGCTAACTGAATATACGGTTCCGGGTGGTCGGTGCTCTCTCGTGAGTACAATTCGCTGAGGTTCTTGTTAACCTCGATCTTGGATCTGACGGCTTCACCTGAGCTACGAGCACTCACGGGGCACCGCTTGCCGCCCATGGAGTCCTGAGGGCATCCACCTCGGTTGGACATTGTGCTTTGATAGTCGAGGAATTCCAGCAGAAAGCCTGGAGATAAAAGCAATAATCTGGATTTGTTCGATGAATCCCACTAGAACTTTGAAGATCACTAGAGGACTTTATATATTGATTCGGACGGCAACCCCCCTGCCCCCTAATATGATTACATCAAGACACTCGTTATCCAGAATTCCACAAGAAAAGGTGTATCTCTGCATTATTGGTGGAGTGTGATGTTGATGGCTGTACTATCCTAGTCATCAATTGGCTGGGCAGGGCCATAGTTGGACCTCAATATTGACGTGCACGAGTCGGTCATCATCTAGTTCTTCTCTTCTGGCTTACCTTGAGACCATAATGCGCTAACATTAGATGGATACTGTTTTTCACTTGTTTCCGACGAAGGGGATGAGGTTTCATGTAGTCTTTCTTACAGACTACCCATGCCCTCTAACTGGGCTTTTACCCTAATATGTCTCACGTTTAGTAGGGATAGGTCCGAACCTTGGATTGCTGGAGGTTGATTACATATGACTAAGCCACTTTCGGACCGACGGTTTCTTCCGCTCCTGTAGCTTACTTTGTAGTACGGCCCGGACCACCGGTACCGGTATGCACTGTTACATGCCACAGCCCGGGAAGATCTGTCTCAGTGCCACCATGGATAGAATAGCCCGCCGAGTCCCTTTTTCTTGGGAAAGACAATTGTTGGAGCATTGGATTTGAAGAACTCCAAAATCCCCCGCCTTAACCCAAACCCAAACCCAGACCCACTTCAAATCTTGCCAGAATGTAAAATATCTCGAATCAGCATCTCAGGAGCCGCCGACAAGAGTTGTACCGTCTCCAGGATATGAGTGGCTAAAGTGAAAGCGTCCTCTGTGCTTAGCACGACGCAGGAAGCCTGGACTTGGATGCAGGCATTCAGTTCGTTGTTTGTGGTAGTGGGAGTGGTAGATCTAACGAAGACTTGATTTCCGGGGTGAATGCGGACATCCGTTGAATTCCATGTCACAAGAAGGTCGTCGGCTAAGGGAAAAGACGGGGTCGCGGTGTCAGCTGGGAGATGCGTGATAAATGGTGTCTCTTTTAGGAGTTGATCTGCACCCGAAGCGGTGGAAGAGGGAATAAGCCAGTCGGTGCAGTTCTCGACCACATCCGTTAATCCCAGGTGTCCCATATCCGAAACACTGGCTTGGTTTTCACGCAACCGGCGACAGAATTCCAGAGCTGAGCAGCTTGTTACGGCTTCAGGAAGCTGGACGCGGAGTAAAGTGCGGTTGATGCATGGACCAAGGAGGAGGTCAGCTTGTTGGGGCCCGGCGGCGGTGGCGAGGACATCGCGCGAGCTCATTACACAGACGAAGTTAATGTCGTTGGTCTGAGTGAGATTGGCTAGAGAGAGGGTGATGGCGGCGTTGACCAGTGTAGGGAAGGTGATGTCTGATGATGGCGGAATGAATGCACCGATGGCTTCTTGGACGGTGATTATGGGTGAGTGGCTCTTTGTCGCCTCTCGGCCGGTGGAAGGAGGGACAGCAGTCAGCCCGGATGAGCCAGCTAAGTATTCCTTCCAGAAGCCAAGGGAGCCCTCGGTGCGAGAGATACTAGATGCATAGAGGTAGTGGGAGAAGGGGACGGTGCTAGCCAGCGGCGAGGATGATGGAGCCCTGTACACGGAGGCAATGTCGGATAGAATGGAGAAGAGCGAAGCTCCGTCGTACTGCGCGTGGCAGAGTTGCAAAGTGAATAGATGCTCGTTTGTCCCCAGACGAGATATGAGGGTGAACCGGGTCGTTAACGGCGCCGGAGCTAACGCACCCCCCTCGCTGTCGATGCTGCAGCCTGAATCCGGGACGCAGTCAGTTGTTTCGTGGGCGAACGGCGCATCAATTGATTCACAAATGACCTGGACCAGACGCCCCTGGAGGGTGGTGAACACAGTGCGTAAGACCGTATGGTGCCGCACCACCGTCTGACAGGCGGACCGGAACCGAACGACGTCGAGATCTCCATGGATTACAAATGAGTGTGACACCAAGCTCCACTCCCTCAAAAACCAAGCCTGACACTCGGTGACCGGGAAGATATCCACGACGGCAGCGCCAGAGGGCAGCTGCATCTCAGCCAAGGATGACGAATCAAGTTCCTGCACTGAAGTGAGGCTGCTGTCATCCAGCAGAGAGAACGGTGTGGGACTGTTGGTCACGGCGACGCTGGATGGAGGACCCCCGGAGCCTTGCACTCGCTGGCCCAGGCGAGCGATTGTAGGATACTGGAAGAGCTCACTCACGCGGATGGTCGATCCCAGCCGCTTGTTGATTCTGGAAACCAGTTTTATGGCCATCAAGGAGTGACCACCGAGGTGGAAGAAACTATCGTCAATCCCCACCTCTACCCCAAGCACACTCGTGAACTCCTCCCACAGAGCGCGCTCAGCCTCATTTGCAAACCTCAAGGCCGCTCGTCGGGCCGTCGATTCTGATTTTGTGGCGCTGACAGGCGGGGAAACGATGTCGTTCCATTGCGCGAGGGTCTTTCTATCCACCTTGCCGACATTATTCACTGGCATCTGGTCTAGCACACGGACCAGTTGGGGTACCATGTAATACGGAAGCTTGGCACGAAGCCTCTCCAGAAGCTGGCTTTCGATCAGTTGATTCCGCTGCGGTTTCAATGGGTTATTACTGAAGACGTCAATAGGCCCGGGCTGGTGACGTTCAGTTGGGAATCGGAATAGCACACGGCCTCTCCCTTGAGTAGTAGCAGCACGGTGGAAGATGGCGTCCAGCCCGCCGTGCTGCGAGGCTTGTCTTGCCCAACTGATCTCCACCTCCCACCCGGTCTTTTGTGCAAGGTCCAGCAAATCGACCGCCGCCAGTGCTGGATAAGCCCGGGCTTGCTTACAGACATCCAGACTCCACCCCGCACTACTGGTTCCCGGCATCGAGGATTGAAGAGCTTTGATCAAGAATCGCTCTTCAATTGTCTTTCTGTAAGGGATGTTGCTAACGGCAAGGACAGAAGCATTTTCTGGCGTCTTCAGGAGCTGCGCCAGGGATCGGGCGTCCAATCCCTGCATCTCGAAGTCAATCCATGAGCTCCGGTCGACCTCTTGGATATCCAACAGTGGCTGACCAAAGCGTTTGATATGCAGGATTGCCGTGTATCGATAGCAGCTGAGTTCATTGGTGATTTCCATCTGCTTAGGAAGGATCTCAACGTGCTCAATCATGTCCGGCAATTCCGTGGCCAACGCAGTGAAGAAAGCTGGATCAACCAAAAGCTCTCGCTCAGAGCGGGAAACATCCGCCATCCGCCGCCGGAATTCCGGCGCGGTCAAGGTGTGGCCGTACCGATGTCGCACATTGCTGGCTTGGAACTCCTGGTGCAGGGCATACGAGCGGATATCACCGAAGAAGATGCACTTGAGATCTTGCGTGTAGATAAGGTCCAAGATCACTCTAAGTAGATAGAATACCGAAGGGAAGTACTGCACCACGGAGTTTATGATGGCGAGATCCAATGGCCCTGCACCCTTCACAGTGGCCAGATCGGCTGCGGTACCGACCTGTACAGTGATCTTCTTCGCCGCCCCATCAACCCAACCTGCTGCCTCCTGAACAAAACGAACCGCTTGACTGGACAGGTCTAGGCCAAAGTACTGCTCTAGGCTGCCGATCAGATTAAACAGAATCATTCCGGTGCCTGTTCCGATCTCCAGCACCCGACTAGGCTCTAACCGGCGGATAGCGGCAATAGTATCATTCAGCCACTCGTTCATCTCTGCTTCCCCTATCGGCTCGCCGGTGTGCATGGAGACCCAGCCCAAGAAGTCTCGACCGAGGGTTTCCGGTTGGATGGTATGAACGCTGCCGTAGTGATCATCCGCATCCGCCCTATCCCTCCAAGTGTTGACATGTTCTTTCTGAACCCGAGCCTCCAAGCGGGCAAAATCCTGTGCCGAGTCCTGCACCGTAACGAAGCTGACCAGTACAGGCTCCGTCTGCGCGTCTCGTTTCTGCACCACTGTCACAGCTGTCGTGATCAACTCATTGCCTAGTAAAACATTGTCGATCTCCGCAGGCTCGATGCGGTGACCCCGGATTTTGACCTGCTGGTCTATGCGGCCGAAGAACTCCATCTGTGCGTCACTGGGCCGGTATCGAACCAGGTCCCCGGTACGGTAGGCCCGAACGAGGCGGCCGCAGATATCAATGGTCACGAACCGATTAAGGTCGTGCTCGGGGTTGACATAACCGCGGGCGAGACCCAACCCGGTGACCACCAGCTCACCTAGAACACCGATGGGGACCAGTCGCAAGCTGCGGTCCATCACGTAGGCGCCCGACTCGATGATTGCACGCCCGATAGGGATGCCATTGACGCCAGCCTCGTGGTCGTGGATGGCGTACCGAGTGCTGATGACCGAGTTCTCGGTGGGCCCGTAGCAATTAAGAATCCGTAGGTTGCCACTACTGCGCCGTGCCTTGGCGACGTCGGCCGGTTCCAGTTTGTCGCCTCCGACGTAGAGTATATCCAGCCCACTCAAGATAGTCGGCGCGGAGGCGAGACACTGACTCAGCATGGCCGGAGTCATCACGGCGCGCCGTACCCCATTCTTGACAAATTTCTCTTCTAGCACGGTATAGTCCCAGACGGCCTGTCGTTCAATGCACACCAGGGTGCCGCCGTTCAACAAGGCGGGATAGATATCGAACCCAGAGGCATCAAAAACTGGGTTCAGCAGGTATGACGACACCTTGGAGGCTGCGACGTGGGCAACGATCTCGGGGTCTTTGGCCAGCCGAACGATGCCATACTGTTCCATCATCACTCCCTTAGGCTTTCCGGTTGTACCGGAGGTGAACAGTATACATGCTAGACTAGTCGGACGAGTGATAGGCGTGGTGCTCAAGAATGCCCGCACATCCTGCGCTGTCGCCTCACCCAATGAGTCCGTGATATAAGAAAATTTGACGACTGGCGCAGAGACAGCAGGGGACTTCTGATCCGATCCCAATAGCACAAGCTCACACGATGGGAGGCAGGAAAGAATCGTTTCTATGCGTTCCATGGGAGCATCGACATCCAAGGGGACATACGTGAGCCCCGCCTTCATGATACCGAAATTAGCGACAATACCCTCACAGGATCGAGGAGCGTAGACCCCAACCGGGGTTTCCAAAGGCAATGAGTACAATTTTATCAACCAGGCGGCCAGAAAAGAGGATCTCTGATCGAGCTCGGAGTAGGTGAGCTGGTTCTTGATATCTCGGACCGCAATTTCATCTGGATGAGCAGCCACTTGCTCAAGGAACATGTGGATAATACTCAAGACAGGAGCAGGAGCCTTGGGGTCTGGATAGATCAATCCTTTCTCATTCAACGTATCGTAACCGTTGGTCAAGGGAAGGGAGCCAACGTCGGTATCTGGCTGACGGAGGCCTTCACGGAGAACATCGTAGAAAACCGAGAGCATTTCTTGGACCGTTTCCGAATTGAACAGGTCCACAGAATAGTGGATATCTCCTCGGAGGAAGTCATCTGCAGGATAAAGATGAAATTCGAGATCGAGTCTTGAGACTTGTGGAAGACGGAGTTGTTCCACCTGGAGACCGTCCAGTTGTAATTGACCGAAGTTGGTCTGCGGATGGAGAATAAACGTAACCTGAACCAAGGGATGGCGAGAGACATCGCGGTCTTTCATCAGCCGGGAAACGATGTGGTCAAACGGTACATCTTGGTTCTCAAAAGCAGCGGTGGTGACTGATTGGACCTGATCCACGAGTTGGTGGAATGACTGGTCTTCAGTTTCAACCTTAGTCCGGATGCATTGAACGTTTCCAAAATACCCGATCAGGCCCTCTAACTCGGTGTGCGTGCGAGCAGCAGCAGGAATGCCGATGGTTGCGTCACCGGCTCCCGTGAGGCGGAAATGCATCGCCCGGAAGGCAGCCAACAGGACGGAGAAGGGGGTGACTTGGTGAGAGCGACAGAAGTGGTGCAGATCCCGGTAGAGAGAGCCGTCAATCTTTACTGGCAGCCAACCAGCTTCACCGGAGAGCATTGCGGGTCGGTGCTTATCACATAGAAACTCCAGCGGCTGGCTGCCGTCTAGCTGGTGTTCCCAGTAAGCGAGCTGCTCTTCATGCACGCTATTCTTCTCTTGTCGCTGCCAGACAGCGAAGTCACGATACTGGATTGAAAGAGGTGCGTCGACATCGAGAGGAGACTGTCCTCGGACGACAGCATTATAATATTTTGCAAGCGATTTCACAAAGATGTCGAACGACCAGCCGTCAGCGATGATATGGTGCAGGACAATTGAGAGCACGTGGTCTGTGGAGGACAGTCGCAAGAGGTTAACACGCCAGCACTCTTTTGTCAGGTCCATAGGCGTGTTTTGCTGCTGGTGAATGCTGCTCATGAGCTCGTCATTTGACGCAAAAGTCATGTCCACCACTTTCAACGATGGAGGCTGGAATGGGGAGACGACTTGCAATCCAACCCCATTGTGACTCGTAAAGGTAGTCCGCAAGGCTTCCTGGCGCTCGACCACCGTGGAAAGGGCGGCATTTAGGGCTTCGAGCTGCAATGCGCCTCGGACACGCGTGGCGTGTGGGAGGAGCAGCCACGTCGACTCTGCATGCATCTCCTGCAGGAACCACATCCGCGCCTGCGAAAACGATTGCTCGATAGGGCCGCAGTGAGCAAGCCTGGGGATAGTGACATAGCTATTCGTTTCAGTGTCACTCTTTAACTCTGCGTCGGCTGCCAGACTTTTCTGCCACACTTCATCGCTATCAGGTTTGGTCCGGGGTTGGAGCAGCGAAGAGATATTAGACAGGGTTTGTGCGCCAAGAAGTGACCCGACAGTCACCTTGTAACCACGCTTCGCCAATCTATTAACCAACATCATAGCTGTGACGGAATCACCACCAAGACTGACGAAGTTGTGGCCCACGCCAAATGAGAGTGGTTCTAAAAGGAGCACCTCGGCGACTAGCTGCAGTACCAGTCGTTGAACATCAGACTGGGGGAAAATTATCGACGCGGAGGCAGACTGCTGCCTATCCAGCTCTTTGCGTGTCGAAGTGAGGATAATCTCTTTCAGAGCCTTTCTGTCCACCTTTCTTGAGATGGTCACGGGGACTGAGTCCAACGGAACATAAACGCCAGGCCGCATATAATCTGGAAGTGTCAACGCTAGGAAAGTCTTAATCCTTTCAATCATGTTCAAGAAGGTCTGTCCTGATAGGTCTTTACGGTTTCCCCAATGCAAAAAGGCAACGAGGATATGAATTCCACTTGAATCCTTTGGGGCTGCGGCCTCAACAATGGCTTGATCCAGCTGGGGACATGCTTGGCGGATCTGATATTCTACCTCAGCGAGTTCAACCCGCATACCCCTAATCTTGACTTGACTATCCTTTCGCGAGATATACCGGAGCTCTCCGTTGGGTGTGTATTGCACTAAGTCGCCGGATCGGTATAACCGGCTCTCGGTGGCCGATGCTGGCAGCCAGGGAGGATCTTTCAGGAAGACTGTGGTTGTTTTCTCAGGTTGTCCTAAATACCCGTCTGCGAGGGCCGGACCCTGAACCAATAACTCAGCCACTGCGCCGACTGGGGCCAATTTATTGCTGTTGTTAGGATCGACAAGCCAGAGACGCGCAGTTGGAGATCGGCCAATGACACGTCTATCAGACTCTGAGGTAACTCGTTGTGACACACAACAGATTCCACCCCATTCTGTGAATCCAAACGCCTGGATAAGCTCAACCTTGTCTGCTAAAGCGTGAACACGGTCGAGCGTCAAGGCCTCACCGGCAACAACTAGTGTCTGAAGGCTGTCAACTGACTCCGTAATTGATAGCGTTGTCGAGGGGGTCAGGATGGCCCAAGTCATCTGCATAGATCGAATAATGCTGTTTAACGCATTTAATCTTTCGTCATCTGATGGTACACATATCGTAGCTCCAGCCGACAGTGTACAATATATCTCAATCAGAGACATTCCGTAGGTGTATGAAGCGAATTGCAGCACCCGACTCTCTGGTACAATTTTCAGTGCTGGAGTCTGATGTACAACATCACTCAGGGCCTCGTAACTGACTACACACCCCTTGGGGCGGCCCGTACTTCCAGATGTGAAGAGAACATAAGCAGTGCGATCAAAGGTGACGGGACTCAGAGTATCTAGGCAGGCCGTTGGCAGACCAGTTGTGGTCTCTTCTGATATCGGAATCACGGTGGCCACGAGGTTCGATAACTTATCGGTGTGGCTGCTAGAGGAAACGGCAAGTCTGGCATTACTTTGCTGGACAATATCCTCTAATCTGGCTACTGGCTGAGCCGGATCCAATGGCACAAAGGCGCCCCCAGCCTTCAGAATGGCAATTTCCGCAACCGCCGCCCACTTAGAATGGTCCATCATGATCGGGACTAGGCATTCAGGTCCGACTCCCTGAATCTGAAGATATCCGGCCCACCGTGTCGTAATTCGGTCTAGTTGTGCGTACGATATTGTTCCATCCGTAGCGCAAATGGCCGTGTGATCGGGGCGGGATTTTGCATGTCCACGAATTACCTCCAGCAAAGACGCTGGTTGTTGCTCCTTTCTGTTCCATTGGGAGACGACGCTCTGGTTGAGGGGACTGAAGATTTCAATTTCGTTAATGGGGCTGTTGGGATGCGTCATGACCTGATTGATGACATGTGTGATGTTGGAAGATAGGTTCTCAACGTAAAAGGGTAGGAGCCTTATAGATCGATAGATCAAGGAGATTTTCTCGGGCAATTTCGTGGCGTCGCTGAAAGAAACAGCCAGTCTGATTTTATACTCCAGCTACTGCCAAATTAGTTTTCTGCCACCAGTGACCTTTTGAAACGGGCTTGTTGCTGTGAAAGAGAAGCCTCGATCTCTCACCTTGCTAGGCCATGACAGTTCCAACGGATTGGTGGAATCTGGAAGCAACACTACGCCGGTAGTGTATTGTGTCTCATCCTGGTCATCAAGCGAGAGCTCGCTCTCCACATCTTGAAAATCATTCAGTAATCGCATAACCGGCCACTCAGGGGATATAGTTGAGCGCAGGACTTTCACTGAATCGTGATCGAGCTCTGCGCCTCTCGTACGAAAATCTTCAATCCCAATACAGACACAATCAGACTCTTCATATGCACGCAGAACGAGAGACCATACGGCCAGGAAAAAAGAGTGACTCGACATATCACATCTCTGGCAAAACTCCGATATCTCCAAAGCCGCACACGTCGTGATTTCGTGAACGGTGATTTGACCACTTTTCGTGCTGATACCCCCCAGATCTGGAAACACACCATGATTATTGGCCGAAGTTTTCATTATGAAGTTAAGGGCAGTCTTGAACGAAGTCAGAAAAATGCACACCGGAAATCTGCTATTATTCAGGGAATTGTTTTCAAGAATGGCTGTTAGAAAATCTGTTTCCCTACCTCAGATCGTCGATATCAAAATATATAGGAGGCGATCATGGCTGGAAAAAGCATGGCCCTTTTTCTGACATGAGCGGGTCGAACTGGACAGGCAGAGGCAGATCATTCCGCATATTCAGGCTGAGCTGAAAGTGAAACCAACGTCACTGATCCGGCGATGAAAAGGCGACTCCCCTCGTCAACTCTCATTCCCTCTACTAGGCGTGGTACACGTTGCAGCAAGGGGAGCCTGAGTTCCCAACAAAACATGCAGCTGTAACCAACAAACAAGAGGAAATACGTACTGGAGATAAGACACCAACTTACATGTCCTGTTGTCAGAAGCCGTCTTCATACTAACAATGCAGAGCCTATGACATTACCGCTGCCATCATTACAGTCCAGAAAAGCCCAGATTGCAACTCCACGGATCGACATTATCATGGAAGACTGCAAATGGACTCAAAGCTTGAATGAGAAGGCAAGGAAAATAAAACTATCCCGTATAATCCTCCTGGGGAGCATGTGAACCTTGCAGTAAACATTCTTGAGTGGTGGTTGAGTTGAAGTTGCAACACAGAATCGCACGAGTGTCCGTGCCGCCTGTTTCTATCTTAGACAGCTTTTTTTCAGCTTTATTATCTACAGTGACAAGAATATATTTACTAGGCCTCTGCCTCAGAACAATGAAAATGTCAAATTCCATAGATATTTTAGCAGACGAAGTATAGGAACCAGCCGGTGTGTACGGCGGACGGTAAGCCCATACATAGGTTAAATACATATTCTCTCGTCCAATAGAAAAGCATCATCACCCCACCATTAGAAGGAGTTTCTGGCAGCATTTGTCCTTGCATAGAGACAGTAGATGTCATGTTACATGACATAAAGCAATTTGTATGGCATTCCTCATCCAACTTGCCTTGAACATGGCATCTTCTGTCTTTGTATGAGGACGTATACTTTCTATCCAACTTCAGTTGCTTTTTTTATTCTGCTTTACCTATATACCAAAAATTGCATATTAATGTTACTGAGACTGGTGAGCCCCTGACCCACCCCACAGGCCGACCCGCCCTACGGGTGCCCCAGGCCGTGGAGCGGGGTGAGGTTCCACCTTTCAAGGTTCCAACCCCCCTAAGTATGTTGTATGTAGTAAGAATCCTCCAGGGCTATCAATGCGGCTCTGCCAAGTCTGAGCTAAGTTTCAATTACACTCTGTAATACACTTAGGTACTACCTAGGTATTACTTGATTCTCTATGGATGTATGTACAAATTATATATTTTCTAAAGTTCAATTATGGTAGCCCTTATATATTAGTAAACATTAATTCATAAGAGAATCCTCCCGTTTATAAGGTGAATATGATTAATAACAAGGCTTTCTGATCCAGTAGTATATTTTCCTCGGTTGTTTAAACAACATGTTATTACTAGCGCAAACTGATCGGCGGGATTGACATCGACATAATTGTTGCCAAGTCGGGCAGAGTCTGAGGCCTGTGTTTTAGAGATTCGACCCTCCGAGGGTCGCCCGCAGGTGATACTTGGACTTGAAAGGGTCGCTCGGGGGGTCCATGGCTCCGGGTCCGTGAGGTTACACCCTGATGCTTTGAGATGTCGATGGAGGGTCCTGACTAGACTGTGACATCGCCCGTCCATTGCTAGAAGGGCCCAAGCGGGTCTATGTCTGCATGACCTGCTAAAATAGCAAAATCAGGCGTCCAAGAGACACGGGCAGTATGGTATGGTAGGGTATACGGTAGCGTATGCAGTGAGCCATAGAGTGGGCTTATCTATTGGATGTGAAATGAAATCCCACCCTATGGGCTACTCGGCTGCCGTACAGTATAGGTGAGCTTGGCACGAATTACTAGAGCTGAATTGCTTAATATTCATTTCTGGAGGTTTAATTTATGTAGCAACCATGGTGGACGGGCCCCCTATCAAGCAAGTATCATTGTAGAACAATACCTTCTAGCACCACAATAATTTGCAATCTTCTCTGAGATCGAAATCCAGCTAGACCTTTAGATGGAGCCACTTTCTTCGAGCGGTTGTTCAGATTTCAAGTCCATGACTTTCTGAATTGACTTTCCTCGGATGGTCAATAACCCGATATCTTTAGGCACAGAGGATCTTTGACTGCCCCAGCCCACGAGCCTCTGAGCCAAAGGGGTCATGCTCTCAATTATTGGGCGGGGAACTGTGAAATTACTCTCCAGCGGAGTAAGCTGGCTGATGCCCGTGGTCAGGGACAAGACACGCCGAATCTCGGTGCCAGTGATATCGGCACCTCCACAATGAACAGTACTGTCTGTAATCAACAGGGCGTCACCCGGATCCATGATAGCGCGAACAGTCTGGTCCATGCTAGCCTGACTGATATCAGTCCACTTATGGCTTCCAAGAATGACATGGGTGGCGCCGTTCTCAGCAGTGAATGGGGTCAAGGCAATGAGTAGATTGATCGAGGTAGCGGGGGCATCGTGCTTGAGATAATCGACAATGGGGTGGCTGTAGCGCATGTCACGGTGAAGAGGTTGGGCTGGATTTGTTGGAGCGAGTTCCATCACTGCGCCCATCAGCACCCAGTAGTCTCCATACACCTTGAAGGCTTCCTCGGAGATGTCATTCAGAACCTTGTTGTTCAAGATATCCTCGCGGTATGTCTTGGACAACTCGGTCAGCACATTCATGATTCGAGTCGTGGTGGACAAGACATGATTAGGACGGTCCTTGGTTCGTGCAGCGGGTACCGTTTCAATCTTAACATGGGGGTCCATATCCTGGTTGAATCGCTGCACCACATCTAAGAGAAGCAAGTTCTTGATAATAACGGCGCCATGCTCCTGGAGGGTAGGCCATATCCTACCGGGCTCACTGATAGCAGACACCCTGGGAATTTCTTGCCTAGTCATGGTGGTGGTGGTGGACTTGCTGGTCGTCTTAGATGTAATAGTTCGATGATAGAGAGAATAATTAGTCTTGTAACCGAAAACTGAACTGGGGCTAGGTATAGCACTGCATAAAAGACATTTGACCGGGGGTTTACGGACATGATAGCGAGCTATGCAAGAATTTTGGATGGTCATTCGGTGAGCGGCAATCTTTGGACAGGTCATGCTAGCAGTGACGTCTTTTTTGACTCATGTCTTACATATCTCAATCAAAATGCAGCGTAATTAAGGAATTCGCGAAAGAACACGCGTTATCTAACCTCCGTATTAGTGGTAAGGTGCCTTTCCTATGCGCTTCCTAAAGCCACTCTGCGGTGTACATACTAGATGGCACAGATATGCAAGGACAAGCCGCTTCCTTGCATTGATATACCCGCCTGCACGGTTTATGACACTGGATCTCCGTGACGTCAAATCCTGCAGGCTGTACTCTTAGGCCGAAAAGATCCCTACAGTGTGTGCACTCAGCAGAGCAAGATGACGGAAAACATAGCAACGCCATATCTCACAATGTCGGTGAAGGATGGTTGTAGATCTCGTACAACAGCCTATCATAGCTCCTTGTTCGTCTGTTTTCGAGTAGCAAGGTGCTCAAAGTCACTCACCGGGGAATGGTGACGTAATAGGCACCGTCGACTTTGAGATTCAAGAGCTGGAGAACAACAGAACCACTAACTTGGCGGGACCCTTTGACCTGATTGTCGGCTTAGGCAGGGGCTTACTTGACTGCCAGGGTTGTCATCCCTTCTGTGAGCGATGACCGCAACTTGGACGTTTGTACAGTACTTCACGCCGCTACTACTCGACCTACCAATACAAAAGATGGCATGCAACCGTCAAAGTTGGAGATCAAGTTACGCGCAGGATCTTCTGAGTTTATCCAAATTCTCAATTAACGACCAACTTTTACTTTCACCACCGCTACCAGAACAATCGGCATGGTGTCCAGTCTGATAGCGCAAGCGGCGCTTGCCTTTTGCCTTCTTTATTATTTGTATAGCATTATACACGCAGTATATTTCCATTCCTTACGAAGCATCCCCGGCCCGAAATGGTGGATTGCCTTCCCCGTTCTACGGCACATATCCGCCATTCGGGGCCAAGTAGACCTCGACATACCCCGGTTCCATCTCAAGTACGGCCCTATCGTGCGCTTCGGACGGGATGAAGTCTCATTTATTGACCCTGAAGCGTGGAAGGACATCTACGGTCACAACAACAAGCATCACCAGTTGCCGAAAGTGAAGAACTCGGCTAGCAACCCGCTGGATATTGTCAGCTCCAATGACGCTGACCATAGCCGCTACCGCAAGTCTCTCTCACACGCCTTCTCTGCCAAGGGGCTGCAGGCGCAGGAACCCTACGTCAACAACTACGTGGAACAGCTGCTCGCTCGACTGAAAGAAGTGGCACAGTTTCAGACACCAACAGATATGAGCAAATGGTATGAATTGACGACCTTCGACATCGTTGGGGATCTTGCCTTTGGTGAGCCATTCGGGGGTTTGGCCAGCTCCGAGTATCACGACACAGTGAAGACTATCTTCGAGTCGATCAAGCTCTTTCCCTTCGTCAAGATGCGCGACGCTTTCCCTGTACTCTTCAGCTTTATCTCCCTCATGATACCGAAACGGCTTCTAGAAGCCCAGAAACAACAGAATGCCCACACCCGTGCTGCAGTTATGAAACGCCTGGTAAACTCCTCGGCCTACAACCGCGGAGATTTTATGGACTCGATGACCCGCAACCGCGGCGAGAAAGACGGTCTGACTGACGACGAGCTCGTCGCTAATGCGAATATTCTTATTGTTGCCGGCAGTGAAACAACTGCCACTCTCCTCGCAGGTGTCACCTACCTCCTTCTCCAGAACCCGGAGACATATAGAAAAGTTGTCATGGAGGTGCGCTCTGTTGAGCAACCCGAATCGGATATCGCATATACCTCCTCCGCCGCCAAAATCCCTTACACCTACATGTGGGCCTGTATCCAGGAAGCCTTCCGACTATACCCACCTGTCCCAACAGGACTGCAACGCGTGACTCTCGACTCGATGTTGATCGCGGGACATGAAATTCCACCAGGCGTAGGTTACCTCTCTTTTAAGACTGCAGGTATCCTGCGTGACTCTCGCTACACGGAACTAATTCTTTCCATTAAAATCTAGACAAAAGTGTCCGTTCACCCACTAGGTGCCTCCTGGTCACCGGTGAATTTCCATGCCCCAGAGCGTTTTCTTCCGGAGAGATGGCTGCCAGAGGCGAGAACTGACCCAGCTTCGCCCTTCTTCCACGACAAACGTGATGTTGTTCAGCCATTTTCTGTGGGGCCACGCAACTGTATCGGCCGAAATCTTGCCTACATTGAGATGCGCCTGATTCTGAGCCGCCTCTTGTGGAATTTTGACCTCGAGCTCTGTGAGCAGTCTTCAGCCTGGCATGATCAGAAAGCGTATACTGCGTGGGAAAAACCTCCTTTAATGTGCAGGTTGACTTTAAGGAAGAATTAGGTGAGTGGGTGGGTGCGAGTGAGAGTGTGAGCCGACGTGTCCGAATTATTCTGGAGGGTAGGGCATGCATCAACTAGATCATGAGTCAAAAAGAAATAGATGCAAGCAACAGTAAAGAGAAACAACATAAAAAATTAGCAGTGCCAAACGCCACCTACGGGGACAGGATGCTTGATATGATAATTTTTTTAGGTAGAGTTTCTCTTTCGTACTTTTAGATACAGACCGTAATCTTAAAATAGTAAGTAAAGGACAATGATCTGTGTATGTATATTGTTTTTGGGAGTGGGCATCACACTTTCTCGATCTGGTCGATTAATATCAAACAATGACGAGGGGAAATGCTCTCATATATTCCATAATTGCCGATATATGGCTTCATTGAACAATAAATTCTGTGCAGGGACCCAAGTCATCTTATAAGGGACTCAATAAGCACTCTATATTTCATTCCCATATTTGAAAAATGCAGTTCAAATCTCGGAATACATGAAGCTTTTACTATCGAAGACTTAAAATACATATCACCTGCTCGGACAGCCCTGGCAAATTAGCCCTATACAGATCAGGTAAAGAACTTTATATATTAATTGATAATACTATATATGGAGCTGACCTCGGGATCCTGGAAGTACTATGTGGATTGAGGTGGTTTGGAGGCTGTGGTTTTTACTATGGCGATACCATAATAACTCGCCAGGAGGGACTTTCCCCAAAAGATTGAGTGACTGTGCCAATAGCATTTACCGCAAGGTATTGAATACGGAATTTGTGCAAAAATTTGGGTGTTATTGAATATTCAATCGAGATTCATTCTCATACTGGTATCAATTTCATAACAGTCGTGATTCCCTGTTTGAGGCATATGGTGATGAAAAATCTCGAGATATGATCAAGAGGACGGCTTCATTGTCCCACAGCAAGAACATGTCCACCACTGAGTTTCCATGAAGCTACTACACGAAATGCAAACCCATCCAAGAGGCTTCTTATCTGCCCCCCGGTCCAGGGATTTGAGGGTATCCAGTGCACGAGTTCGGTTCTTAAAAGTAAATGCACTGTCCCTGGGATTCGCGTTTTTCTCTTCGTTTCGATCAAGAGATAATGGCCTTTTCATCGAATTTCGTGACTCCGAACGCACTTTTTGGGTAGTATTCTGGGTAGTATCTCGGCCAGAGGTGGATGTGGATAGCGTACTGGTTGGAGGCGGTCGTTCTGCGGCACAAACATCACAACATAAGAAGGTAGACGGATTCTCGAGTGTACACGATGGACAGATCCATGGTGTCTCGTATGAGCTGTTATCAGCTGTAAGATCAACAGTTTCATTATGATTTAATGACGGGGCTTCTTTTGGAGGCTCAGACAAAGTCTCAGAAATAGTAGGTGAGATATCGGAAGCATTGGGTGGCGGTGACGATTTCGTTCGAGGTCCTGCCGGGTTTTCTTGACTTGGCGGAACATATGACGACTCATATTTCTCTCTTTCTTCTTCCTGTATCAGTTCGATGAAGGCCTCCATGATAGCCCGCTCGTTTGCATCATCTTCCTCGGCCTGGGTTCTGAACCCATGCGAGGCCTCTTCTGCAAGCTCAGTGCTTCGATCAGTACCAGAAGCACAACCCTGGGTCACTTCAATACGTCGCTGGGCAGCGTCAGCCCGGAGCTTTCGTATATCTGTTCCTCGGAGCACGCGGGTTCCGCCAAGCTTTTTGCCGGAATTTTTGGCAAGAACTCTTCGCTGTTCAGCAGCGGCACGAGCTTGACGCCGAGCTTCATCCAGCGGAATCCGTTGGCCGCCCAGACGTTTTCCTTGAGATAAAAATCCCTCTCCAGTGTAGCCTTTTCTGGCTAGTTCCTCATGCTCATCACGAAGTTGATTCCACAGCGCATGAAACTGCTGGTTGTGAGGACCAATCACGTTGTGGCAGAGTCTAAAATTTGTCAAAATTTGGATTGTGGAATGTCTAGACGTAGAATCACTCACTCATGAAGCATAGTATCCAAAACCTCCTCGATGGGGAGAAATTGCCGTTGGTCAGAGGGATATCGTAATCTCAGACAAATCTTCTGGCCCGAGTTGACATTCAGCCCCAGGAGATTTCGCTGCTGCGGATAGAATTCACAGAGCGCGCCCACTTTCCAGGCGCGTTGTCGCATGATCGGTTTAACCAAAGATGCGACTTTACGCAGAATCAAGAGGGCCTCTGCCTCTCGGGGGCGTTTCTTTTCATGGCGGTACTCCGAGATCAGAGGGTCTAGCTCGCGCATTTTCAAGATTTTTGATCAAAAAACTGGACAGTACGGTAAAACAGGATGCCGCAAATATGTGAGATGTTACTGCCTTCGTTGGGATGCGTTGGGATGGCCTCATCCGAGGCCAGGGTCTTAGCGACAAGATTTCACATCAGAGCATGCCCAAACGATGGCATTATACAGATCTGATGCAGATATTTAGGACAGTCAAAGGGGCATAGCCAGTAATGGAAATTCCAGAATCATTCCAAGTTTGGGGTATCCATGGATGACCTTTTCGGATAAGCAAGGCATCAAATTGACACCTGATTCTTCAGGCTAATATTATGGTCACGTGAATTAAATCTACCTACATGGTCCTGATGAAACGACGTCGCTTTAATTGCGCATAATAGTTGATAGGAGGCAAAATTTGAGATGTAATTGGAACTGCATTTTCCTAGGTAACTAAGAACCGAGATAGCTCTTACATAATCCAGGGCTTAGGTTTACAACTAAGTCATATTAGGTTCAGATATATGTTTAGAGTCTTTGAAAATATTACAGTAACTAAGTCGCTAAAAACAATATTCTACTGCTTTATCACTACCTCTAATAAGAAAAAAACGCATCCAAAGAGTTAGAAAAAAAGGGCTAAAAGCATAACGAGTCCTGCTTACTCCCCGTCGTTGGCCTGCCCATTTTATACAAAGCGCTGTTCATGTGACCTTTCCGATAACACCGAGAGTGTTATCAGCATCCATCTTATCGAACTTTGCTCTTCTTTTTCTTTCCAGCTTGTTCTCAAATAAACAAGATGACGAGCGACGACCAGTTCTTTTTTGACTACGTGAGTATATGGAAGCAGACAAAGAATGCTGTCGTCGCTGATACTTCCTCATCCAGCTCTCGTCTATACCCCATGACGTAAGGCGGTATTCCCTCGAAGTCGCCGACTCGATCGACCGACAAGTCGACCATGCCGCGCATGTGATCAAGGACGTCCTGGCCCAGCAGTCATGGCTACCGCCCACTGTTCGTCCAGCTCGTGTTTCCCCGAGAATGCGGTCATCGCAAGGCCTAACGGACCGGATCCAAAACTGGATGGCTCGGAATCGCGCATGGTCGGCGGCCATCCTCGCATTTATCGGGACCGGTGTTGTTTTATACTATGGAAATAAGAAGCTACACGGAAAACGGAGAAAAGCTAGAAGGGCTAGCAACGGCGCAAGGAAAGAGATTGTTGGTATGCGTCATAATATTCGGGTTTGATCTCTACTAGGATCTGAGTGCTGATTCTGCGATTATAGTTGTTGCCGGATCGCCACATGAGCCGATGACAAGAGCTATTGCTATGGATTTGGAACGTCGGGGATATATCGTATATGTGACTGTTTCTTCAGAGGATGAAGAGCATATTGTCAAGTCTGAGAACCGTGTTGACATCAAGGCTCTCTGGTTGGATCTTACAACTGTAAGTGCTGTTCATGTATCTCTTATATGGGAGCCCCAAGCTAAAATGACATACTAGACGTCCTCCTCGCCATCCGAAATCCATCCTTCGTTGCAAGACCTTCGCTCTTTGATCACCAAGGCACAGTCGCCTATCGCTGGAGTGCCCCCGCACACCTGCCAACTGAGCGGCCTTATCGTGGTTCCATCACCCAACTACAGTGCAGGCCCTGTCGCAACAATCCCGCCGTCATCGTGGGCCGATATGGTTAACACCCGTCTCCTCTCGCCTATCCTCACAGTGCAGGCTTTCCTCCCCCTGCTGACCCTCCGCAGCAATAGTAGCACCATTGTCTTTGCCTATCCATCCATATCATCCTCCCTTTCCGCGCCATTTGCCGGACCGGAAGTCGCCACAGCCCGAGCAATCTCAGGCTTCGCATCCTCACTTCGCCAGGAACTTCGTCTCCTCGAACAGGGCAATGTCGATGTCGTCGAGCTACAACTCGGCAACATTGACCTAGGGCCTACATACCGAAATGGTCAGAACCAGGTCGCAGGTACGGAGGTCCTCGCATGGAGTACTCAGCAGCGGGCCCTTTATGCCTCACAGTATCTGTCTAGCGTTGAACAGCGCCCAGTTGCCTCTGCTGGTCCCAGCACAATACGAGGCTCTCCAGCGCGGAACCTCCATCACGCTATTTTGGATGCTTTGGAGCCCACCGTGCGGGATATTTTCGGCCGTAAAGTTTCCAAGAAGCCTATCATGTATGTGGGCCGCGGAGCTCGATCGTACAGCCTGATCGGGGCCTGGGTTCCAAGTGGACTCGTGGCGCTGATGATGGGATACCGTAGTGGGAACGGGATGAACTTGGATACCCCGAGTGCTAGCGGCAGTGAAACCAGCTGGGAGAGAGTTTAAGCTCGTGTACTGTGCTTGTGTTTTGACACATCTCCTTCATGCCATTGCCGTCTTTAATATATCAAAAGCACTCGCTTTGAACAATGCTTTTCTGTACATAATATTACAAGAATAGTCGGCTGCTTATGTGGCATTATGATGTCTTTTTTGGCAGTCTTTTTGATGTTCTTCTTTTATATATATTTTTTAAGGTGTCTTTTTAGATGTCTTCTTAGATGTCTTTTTTAATGTATTTTTCTTTGGATATTTTCTTCCGCTTCAAGAGCATGTAAAAGCAAATAAGCAAATACCCCAGTATGACAGCCGAGTAAAGTAGATACATATGTAAATGACTGACCAATCTCGGCATGGTCATTGTGGGGTCTGGAAAAAAGAAGGGCTATCAAGCCGG